TCTTGCGACCAGAGCGCTACACCTAGAACTCGCTGCGTCACTGGACACAGATGACTTTCTGATGGCGCTCAGAAGATTCATCGCCCGCCGAGGACGACCAAGACTGATCCTGTCCGATAACGGGACGAACCTGGTCGCTGGCGAGAAGGAGCTGGAAGCTTGTCTGGAACATTGGAATCAGTCACAGATCGTGGATGAGCTGACTCAGAGGCGCATTGAGTGGCGCTTCAACCCACCCACGGCCAGCCACATGGGCGGTGTGTGGGAGCGCTTGGTAGCTTCCGTTAAACGGTCGCTGCGCGTGGTGCTAGGGAATCAGTGCGTAGCCGAGGATGTACTGCACACCGTCCTACTGGAAGTCGAGTTTCTATTGAACAGTCGGCCCCTGACGTACGTTAGCTCTGCTATCGACGATGCTGAACCACTAACCCCGAACCATTTCATTTTGGGCTATCCTCAAGCTGCCCTGCCGCCTGGAAAGTTTTCAGACAGCGACACGTGTGGACGCGGAAAATGGCGACAGTCTCAAGCTCTGTCTAACCAGCTGTGGCAGCGGTGGCGCAAAGAATACCTGCCTCTTCTCATCGAACGGAAGAAGTGGATGCAGAAGACACGTGATTTGAAAGTTGGAGACGTGGTATTGATGGTGGAGCAAAACTCTCCGCGCGGCTACTGGCCGCTAGCAAGAGTGACAGAAGTTATGCCGGGTGCAGACGGAACCATTCGAGCAGTGAAAGTTCGCACTGCCACGGGAGGAATCTACCTACGACCCTCCAACAGGATCTGCTTCTTGGAGAGCTGTGTCTGATGCAAGCAGACGAGTCGAGGGCGGTGTAATGTGTGCAGTGTCATTGGCTTTATCCTGTGTCTTTGAATGTCCTGTGTCATTGACTATCCTGCGCTAGTGATTATGTACTGCATCCGCTTCCTTAGATCTGTCCTATTTAGGATCCTGTGTTCCTTACAGAGTCGTGGACCGTTCCTATTGACCGGCGACGGGCTGCGGCTACACTACCGGATCTGGCGGGGGTCGACGAAGATGTTCGGCGGCTTCGTTGGTGGTGACTGACTGGTGTCCTCCGGCGGACCGTGGAGCTCCGACTGCAGCGGCTGCTACTTGGATTCGGGCGGACCGTGGCGCTCCGGCGCCGCCGGCGGGGCAGCGGCGGCGTGGCTGTCGCGTTGCTCGGTGGAGCGCGTGAGGACGGTCGCGCGTCGCATGACGCTCGTCTCCGGACTGCCGTACTGGGGCTGGATGAACTCCCGACTCGCTGGCGCAGAGCGGTGGCCAGTTGGACAGCGTAGTTGGAGCGGGCGGCGCGCGCGGTCGGGGCGGGCGACACCGTCCGGTGGAACAGACTGTGGAGCTATGCTCTGGGACGGAGCTCAGGGACGTCCGGTATGAGCTAGTGCCGGATGGGACTAGCTGGCCTCAGTTCCTGCTATCGGCTGTCAGCGTGGTCGAATTGTGCTCAGTGCGAAACAGCGGTGCCCGTGCGCGTTAACATAGCTGGCAAGGCTGCACTACCCAGCGCTGACAGGGGTATTTCGGACGCATATGTGATGACAGTGCTAGAATAGTCCGTGGGGCTCGTCTCAGTGTCTCATGTCAGCGTTTGGGGGGTGGAGGATGTGACGAGCGAAGCGGATATTCTCGGTGGCACGTTGATCGTGTGGCGCCACCTGCGTACCAACCCGAGTGCGACTGCGGGAGAGTGCCGCCGTATGACGCTAGATGGCGTGGGTGCTCTGTCTGGTGGCGCCGACGACTGAGACCGAAACTGAAAGTGTCATGCTATCAGCTGGATTTTCATGCAACCAGCTGATCGTTCGAAGGCAGAAGGGTGTGGTTGGAAAAATACCGGCATGGTCTTTGTCTGAGCCTTTTCTGTGACGGTCGGGCTTACTTTGGTAAGGAGTTTGAGTTGTTAAAATGCTATGAGTCGTGTGAATTTGAGTTTTCTTGCCCTATTGATGTGATTGGCGTTATTTAATTAGGATTTTCTTTGTTTCTCAGAAACCTACATGTCAAGTTGAAGGCGTCTGAACGATACTTCGTCTACACTGACTACCAACGTTGTACCGCAATATATATCCACGCCAATTTCCAATATGTAGTGTTATCAATTCCCCACCGTTGCGGTGACAAAACGGAAGAGTGATTATTTGATTATCTAACCAAGCCGATTGGTGGAAGGTGTGTGCGAGTGATGTATGACGCATAACGATGATATATGGAGTATAGACGTACAGTCCACAGCAGAAGTAATGTGTGGTTTCAGTCATGGGTTTGTTCTGCTTCTGAAGCCTAGGAACGATTAGCCAGACTGCAACGAGACTTTAAATGTAGCTTACATGTATCTTCACCCTTGCACCTACAACTTTATCTATTGACGCCTTCTTTTCAATCAGTCCGCATTTAAAAATCGTCGGTCAAAGCCATCCGCTGAGATTGGTAAAACCACACATTACTTTAGCGGTGCGGCTTTACGTACATACATACGCTCAGTTACGCTACGGTATTCATTACGTTACAGGGCGAGGCCATTAGTATGCTGATTGTGCTGCCTAATGAGATGGACGGTATCCATCTGCTGGACGCTGAGATACACAAGGCGAACATGGAAGACCTCATCTGGAGCCTGGACAGCAGCGAGGAGGTCGAAGTCCAGCTCCCCAGGTTCAAAATGGAGGAGAAAATCGATTTGAAAGAGACGCTGAAAAAGGCAAGTACCCAACCAGAGCCTTTGGTGCTACTCAATTTTGCATGTCATTTCAGAGCTGTTATTCTGCTAAAAGCCAGGTAGGCAGTCGATACCTTATGCGCTTGAACCGAAACCTTATCTTCCATATGGTCATTAGTAGCCGTTTTCACGACGGCCATCTGGTACGTACACATTTGGTGCACATCATCATTCGCCGGATAGCCCGTCGTGAAAACGGCTAATAATTATCAACTAGTCCATCAGATATTGCATCGGCTCGTACGATGCGCAACAGTCTGGTCGGCCGCAGCCGACATGTATCGTTTGATAAGAATGGGTTGCTTTGGTTAGTCGGCGACCTCTGACGTTTATCGCTCCCCGCCGCTCATACAGATGGGTCTGACGGACCTGTTTGACCTAAACGAGGCGAACCTGAGCGGCATCAGCCGACAGAGGATCTGCGTCAGTGATGTGGTCCACAAAGCGGCCATCGAGGTGACGGAGGAGGGCACCACCGCCACCGCGGCCACAGGTGAGAAACTGATATTATCACCGCCATCACATGTGAGAAACTGCCACCGCCGCCACAGGTGAGAAAATGTAGCAGTCACCGCAACCAGAGTGGCCACGCAGATAAGTGATTGCCACTCTCGATCTTGCTTATTGCATGCGTATTATTGCGATCCACATCACATCATGCATAAGAGCCGTTCTTATTTGCTTAGTGAATGTCGCAATAATGTTTCCTAAAAACTGTTAACGAAACTCTTTGTTCCTTATTCTGTGTACTTTTTGCCCCGAATTCCGACCTCGTTTTCCGTTTGCCCGTGCAGCCGTCGGCTTCAGTTTCCGCATGTTGAGGCCAAAGCCGGAGCCTTTTATCGTGGATCGACCGTTCTTCTTCGTGCTGCGAGACGAGAAGACGGGCGCCTCTCTGTTCATCGGCAGAGTCATGGAGCCCTGAGGGAGAGCAGATGAGACAGAGGGGGAAGAGAGGGGAAGGGAAGGGAAAGAGAGGTGAGAGAGAACTAGCAGGGCTGAGAGCGAGAGCCACGAACAGACGACCAGGCAGCCCAGCGACCCTGCCTGTCAATGCTGAGCGAGACCAAGACTTGCAGCGGCAGTGATCTGCTAATATTGTCTCCAGAGGTCAATGTATAACGTCTTCTGCGGCTGAGCGACGTCTGCTGAGAAAAGATCGTCAGCAGACTCTGAGACGGATGCACTGGAATTGATTGCGCCACCAGTTTTGTTGAAGCGCACTACGCACCGACGTTCAATGGTGAAGGTTGGTTTGTAAGGGGCGCGTTCCTAAAGGTCAAAACAAGGCAGAAAGTCACCGTGCCCTTTAAAAGTTAGCATCACCGAACTGTTTTAATAGAAAACTCTGACGTGTGCCTTTGCACTGACCTCTGCACCCAGTTATATAAACGTTTCTGTGAATAGTATCTGCATCCCCGAGCATGGCCTAAGTTCTCTCATTCAGTCATGATCACCACCTCAGACGCATAACTTTTAAACCAGATCGTAGACATTTTAGCGTGAAATTTCGCCATAAGTTTGGTTAACATTGCAATCAGTTGCATTTGTTTATTAATGATTATTTCGGAGGATGAACCTGACGTAATTATTTGCTCCTGAGTGCCGTGTCAGCTTGTTCGTGAGGGTAGTTTGCAGGGTAACTATATTTTTACAAGAAACAAAATAATCATGATCGATATGTTGTACTTGCTTTAGTGTTAAAAAACTTAACAACAATAATGCCGACTCATAGTTATTTGTTGAGATCATCTTACATAGAAGAGGGTTCAACAAGCAAATGTGCTGTAACGTGTCGAATCGATTTGATTGGTGAAATATTCTCGAATAAAATGATTGATGAACATTGATAAATACGCCTAATGTACCTATGTCTTTTTGAATATATGCACGGCGTTTTCCATGGTGTTTTATCGTTCCCATCAATACGTTTTTCGTCAACGCCGCCCTAATTATTAATAAAAATTATGGCAGTTGACACCAGATGGGCTCCAAAAGAGCTAAGGGCTGCTGTCACTCAGCTCAGCATACATATTACTCTTTTTCATGGGTAATACCAGCGCAACTGAGTGCACATCTGAAACCAAGGTAATAAAAAAATGTACACGTGTACTGCGCATTAGGCGAGGCCCACACATACCACATACAGTTATATAAGCTGCATTTTAAACGTGACACGCATGTTTTGATCATTCGTCAACGGATGCTGTGTGTGCAAAGCTGCATCAATGGTATCCGTGGCAACGCCATCGCCGACTGTCATCCGACCCGCTCTCCATCTAGCCCGACAGGCCACGTTTCCACTTCTTTTGAGGACACTAATGCGTCTTCAGCAGCCGGAACGAATATGGAAACGCAATCGTATTGGAAACGCAATCCTATTACCGTTGGACATCCATGATTTTTGCGCGGTCGGGTTGAAACACATTTTTCTTAGACCATAAATTGGGAATTTGTGGTACTTATATGAATTATTTCACGTCACTGAAACAGCTGGGTCCTTGCCAGATATCTTCGTTTTGTCATGCGTGCCATGGCACAGGAAGTACACAACATAAGCTGACGCACAATACTGAGGATTGACGGATCGAGTGAAAACGCGAGACGGACTCGCAAGACGTCTACGTAGTACGTCATATAGGTGGACGTCATAGATAGATAGACGTCATAGATGTCATAGACGCTAGACGTCATAGATAGCATTATTAAAGAAAATAATCATACGCAGCTCGATTATCATGATCTTCATATTCAACACTCCAAAACATAACCGAGTCATAAAAGTACAACGCAAACAATATTCATCGTCCACAGTGTGATAACGGCTCATATTTCAAGGCTTATTACCAAAGAATATCTAGCGCTAGCCCACAGCTTAGTTTATGTAAAGCCCAAAGCCTAATCACACTAGAACTCACCAGATTTGCATATCAAAGCTCACCTCTCACAACTATATACTCGCAAAAACATGCATGCATGTTGCAAAGTGTAGTTATATGTATACTATACAGTGTAAGTACATCGCCCGCAAGTTGCTACCGCATCGCACCATGTCTCACTTCAGTTCTCACCACTAGTTCTCACACGTCCCCACTCTCACCATAGGGGAGCACAGCGCGTCTCCGGGTTCATGGGTGTCCCTGGGCGGCAGCTGAACGCGGCTGCGAACTCAGCTGTGTGTCGCGCCATTCGGTTCACGCGCTCTGGGTTCGGAGGGTGGGTGCTGGCTGCCACCAGAGCCGCGTACGAATCGACGTCAATGTCAGCGCAGTACACCTGAAAACCGAGAGAGAGAGATAGAGAGAGAGATAGAGAGAGAGAGAGAGAGAGAGAGAGAGAGAGAGAGAGAGAGAGAGAGAGAGAGAGAGAGCGAGAGCGAGAGCGAGAGCGAGAGCGAGAGCGAGAGCGAGAGCGAGAGCGAGAGCGAGAGCGAGAGCGAGAGCGAGAGCGAGAGCGAGAGCGAGAGCGAGAGCGAGAGCGAGAGCGAGAGCGAGAGCGAGAGAGAGAGAGAGAGAGAGAGAGAGAGAGAGAGAGAGAGAGAGAGAGAGAGAGAGAGAGAGAGAGAGAGAGAGAGAGAGAGAGAGAGAGAAAGTCGCAGGGTTAGGGTTGCATTTAGGAACGACAACTTACATGAATCATCAGAGAGCAGATCACATCCACCCCTCCCTCTCCCCCTCTTTCCTCGGGTCACATCTCTGACCCCCACGGATCTGTCACTAATGACCCTCGCAGATCTCTGACCTGTGCGAAGCTCATGAAGAAGGCCTGCTGTGTGGTCAGGTTGACACCGGGTAGGGCTGGCTCGGGTCCGAGTCGCGCTCGCCGTCGAAGGTAGGCTGATAGTGCCAGGGAGAGACTGCTGAAGTCGGCTGAGTTCTCGCCCAGGGTGAGGTCACCGTCCAGCTTTGTGGCAGGGGGGGGAAGGTTACATAACCGGGCAATTTGCAGCTGACGGCGAGGGTTTTCGTGAGCTACAACGATTCGCCGTCCAGATTGGGAGGGTGCGATATGACACGTGGCGCACGATATGTGGCAGGCCTGAGAGCTCTGCAGCGGGAATGATTTAGGATAGCCTATGCTTTAGGGATTATTTTTTTAAAGAACGGAATTCATCCCGGGGTATATAAAAGCAAGGTAGGTATAGATATCCATGTAACTCGTAATAATGTTAACGTATCGTGTTCGCACATGATCGCCAAGATACAACCCAGCCATGCTCCTAACGCGACATACCTACAACCATGAACTGAACCCATACTATGAATATTACCTGGACATCCACAGTTTGGTGGACACTGCTGGCCGTTTTGACCAGCGGTGACACATACTCTGTCCGTATGCACTGGAATTTGTCGTCCACTCTTTGCTGAAGTGCCCCGGGTAGGTGGCGCGTAGCACCCGTCTCGTCAAAACTGAGACCTGGTCAGAGCGAGAGAAACACCATGTGATGTTGAAAATAAAACGGCAGGTGCATAGACCCTTTATAGCACAAGCACACGGATATTTGACGGCGTATTTGCATTTACCTACATATCTTGGTTTTACCTGTATGAAAGGAATCACAATATCCGTCATAATATCTACATACCTACCTATTCGTTGTGGAAATTTTACAAAATGATGATTTGCGAAACTCGTGGGTTTGACTGGCAGTGAGTATGCACGAACTGTACTTCATCGTAATGTCTACAAACAAACTTCTTCATGAATTCCTTCAAATTGCTAAGGCATCGCCGCGGTAAGGATACCTTCAAGCTGTGCCGCATCCGCATGCATTAGGTACCTATTGCTTTGCAAGCAATCCATTCCCTTGTAGAAGAGGTTGACCATGCAGTGGTAGTCTGTCGGCATAATTCTGACCTGTGCTGTCGATGCCGTGCAGTAGCTCGTGCGCCATCACCACGCCCAGCACGGCAAACTGGACGTACTCGGGAACGTCTCCGTGAAAGAACGGCTCCGTCAGCAGCGCCAGTGGCACTCCTGCGGCAGACGTGAGAATGACTAGTTATCTTATTAGTCGATAGGTGGCAGCAGGGGTAGACGCCTGAAGTTATGCTGTGCCGCAGCGCCTCTTTGTTGCGGCTGCTGACTGTCGTTGCACTTCTCACCTGAATTATTGTAAATAAGAAAGTTTTATATTATTTTCACGCCTTCAATGATCATAAAACATTACAAGGGCACGTCATATTCGTGTTTTTTTTTTAATACCGGGTTAGAGAGAAGACCTCACCTACGACTAACGGGCATTGGAGGGAAAGTCATACGTTTTATTCGTGCATTGTTTTTAAAACGGCTGGGGAAGCATATTGATAACGGAAGCAAGACTAAGATTTTATTCAAGTCTTGTTTTTATCCAAACATAAGTGATCTGATAGAAAACTTATACCGCAGGTCGTAGAATGAATTATATATCAATTATCAGACACAAGTGCCTACGTGCCTCCGTTTATGTGGTGAGTGAGCCTTAACATGATCTCACCGACGGCGTTTCTGGCAGGGAGGTGGAAGGCGTTGGCCGTGTGAGGCTCCACCTCCGTCGGCCACCTGTCGGCACAGCGGGAATGCTGCAACTAAATCACATTAGATGGCAAAGCACAAACTAAAATGGAGCACATACATGATCGGTTCTTTGCCGATAAATAAATCAATCATTTAAAACCTTAGGGGGGTTGCATCAACCCCCCCCCCCTGTGCCGGCGAGGGTTATTATCTGGCTAAACATACCTCAAAGGGTCTGTAGATGCCATCTCTCGAAGCGTCAACTTCAACGTTTTTACTTGAGCCCTTCTCAGGCCTTTGAAGAGGTCCAGCAGCATCTTGGATCCAGGCCGCACCAACACCCTTGGAGACTGGAGAGAGAAACAATGGGGAAACAATAAATTACTCAAGGCACATGGAATATCAAAACAAATGCGTATGTTAAGATTTTGTTGGAAAATGTACCACCCGATGCTACGTGTAAATTTATCATTTTAAGCGGTAATTAATGGTCGTGTCGTTATTTTACCAATCAGAGGCGGCTTTAGGCTCCGACCTGAGGTGACGTTTTCCAGAGCCTGGAGACGGGCGGCGTGTTCACGTTCACGAACGTGTCGTTCCACAGGCTCTCCGGCGCCAGCAGGTAGGTGCGAGTGGCGGCGATCTTGTCCCGGGCCAGGCCTAGAAGCCGGTCAGACGCAGTGTGTGTGGCGTTACTCGCTGCCATCTTCAGCTCGATAGAGCGCAGCAGCTCGGAACGAATCTCCTCCAGAATTGAGCTCACCTGTCGTAGGTGGCACCGGGACAAAGGGGCTGGGTAATTCCATTGTTATTATTGCCTGGCTGACAAGAAAACAAATTACAAATACACTGACATGCAAATAATTCCAGAATGTCTTCATCTCTGTTTAGAACGGACTTCCGATTATGCGATTACATTCATCCAAAAGATTACATTCATACATTCATCTAAGTTAAAGAAAAATTGTTTTATTTGGTAGAAAGCACAGGTGGAGTAGCAATAACGATCTAATTACAAAAATAATAATACCGGGTTTGTTATTTGTGAAGTAAAAAGTTGCAGTTGATATTCACATAAATGGTTCATACCATTGCAACACATTCACGACTGGTCCTAAGGAGCCGGTACCTTTTCTCTGAGCAGATCGACTCTCTGTTTGCCGACATTTCTGACGTACAGGGCGGCCACGGCCACAGGGAATGCCTCCTTTGTGAGGGAGACACAGAGCTGCTGGCCGGCCGACAGGCTGGTGTCAGCACTGACCAGGGAGTCCACCATCTCCGCCAGGAACACGGTCCTGAGAAAAATGATGGTCATCCAAGTTATCTAATTTTCTGCTGAATGAACCATGACGGAATTTAGGGTTTTTCATAGATAGAGACATAGACATAGAGGCATAGAGGCATGGCAGAGGCATGCATAGAGACCTCGTTACTCCCAAATTATGACGACAATCGATGAGCACAATACACAGCGCATAACTTTGATTTTCAATCCAAAGCCCAGATTTCGTAAGGCTGTTTGGCACACTTAGCACGTGTACCTATCTCTTGACATAATGATAGGCGATAATCAGCGTAAAGTAGTTGTATGTTTTGCACCTGTGACTGCATCCAGTCACCTGGCGTGTGCACCCTTCCCACCTGAAGCGCAGCAGGACGGCGTTGTGAACCACGCTAGGATGGTACCGGTCCAGAAGGTCCCCCAGTCGCTGCATGTACCGCGGGTACCGCACGTGTACAGGGTCAGATCCCCGCACCGGCCGCCGCATCACACCTGACAGGTACCGCTCCCAGTCCAGCTGGAAAGGAAATAGCAGCCGCAGTCTGACTAAGGAAAAGGTGAACTACATTTAATGCCGCCCTTCAATCTTAACCCGGCACCGCCTGGGCTATTTCCGTACCCACATCAGCCTGGGGGGGGGTCGGATCCGACCCCCCCCCCCTGTTATCTCGAGAACCAATGGTCGTATCGAGCCCCGCGAGGCGGCGTTCGAAAGGTCTCTACGAGACCTTCCCAAAGTACTCTTAAGATTTTAAGATTGAGGTCAACTTTCGGGTCAAGGTCAGGTCAAAGGTCAAATTCAGGGGTTTTGCATGATTAGGCTTACGGACAGCGGAATCGATAGCTGCTGCTCGAAACTCACCACAAATGACCTCAAAGGCATAGTGAAGGTACCATGTGCGTATAGGGGTCATACTAAGTACGGGTCAAGGTCAGGTCAGGTCACGAAAGGTCACGGTTTTCACTTTCTGCTACATGGGCGTGCGACACATGTTTTATGGCTTATTTTTCACGCCAAATCCGATGGTAATGGTTATATGTGACCCCATGTCACTGTGCTGGTGATAAGTGTGCATTGAAAGCATAAAAAAATCGTTTATACCATACATAACTAAACGAGGGCTAAGAAAAAAAGTCAAATTTTCAACTTTTTATTTTTGACATAAAAATGCACTTTTCTAGACGAGCTTTGTCCCAGGAATCTAGTGGTGCCATTTGTTTTCACATGCGATGTTCAGAAGTGCCTCTAATTCGCGAAAATGCTTATGACGTCACCATGCCCTATGCATGTTGGAGCTATTTTTTACAATTTGGGGGTCAAAAATCAAGATAGAAAGTTGAAATTTGGGACATCTAATGTTCTAATAGAGCTCTATAACATATATTCCGTTTTTTTTGGAAATTCTCAAAATTTTGGATTTTATTAGCTGTTTTCCAAAAAATATAGTTTTTTGAATTTTTAGGGGTGAAAAACGCATTTTATGGAAAATTCGAGATAGCCATTTTAAAGAACTCGTTGAGCTGCGTCTTTTCATGTCCTTAATTTGCAATTTGCTCTAAACCTCAATTTTTGGCGATTTTTTAAACATTTACCATTTTTTGACTGAAAACGCCATGTAGTTACATCACTAAAATCAATATATCTCAGAAATTTTTGAAAATGTTTTCTTAAAAATTGCACAGGAGACGTCAAATTGATGGGGGAGAAGGTATGCGAAGTTTCAAGTTGATAGCGCAAGCGGTTCATGAGTTATTTAAGAAAAACGGAGGGGGGGGGTCGGATCCGACCCCCCCCCCAGGCGGTCGCGGGTTATATTACATCTTGCAAGCAAATTATAAGCATCAATTTCTGTTTTAGTTATATGCTAGTCAAATGACTACGCATTGTTCGTTACTTTTCATATGAATGCTAGCCCCCCCCCCCCGCCCCTCCCTTCTCTGTGGTCTATTTACTAACGTATGGATGCTGTAACTGAAGCAGCCCCACGGTTAGAGACGGTAATAAGTGATATAAGCTAAGCATATTGTTGATCAACTAACGTAAGGATACTGGAGTTGCAGTAGCTCCACGGTAAGCGCCGGCTCTAGGTGGAGCCGCGCCTCAGAGACCACTCTTTCCTGCGCAGTCGGCAGAATCTGAAAACACACGAATGGAAACGCAATCACTGATTAAACTGATCACCGATCACCTTCAGCGATACTTCGTATCTTCCAACAGTGATTTGCGACACTTATTATGCCTGCAGAAATGTCTATGCTATGAATGATGTAAATATTGCAATATATGTAAGCGATCGGCTGGTATTCAGTCTGTGTTTATCGTACTTTTTAGACTGGTTACAAAACGGCCTTACAAAGCTTCAGGGAGCAGTTCGTATAAGGGTGTGAAGTGATTTTTATGGCTAAAGCACCTGGTTGCGACCTTGATGGGAACTAAAGTTAATAAACATTTGATAATGGCTGTTGATGTAAGTAAGAGCTATGAGGGACCCTGCCAGCCAAAGAAACGGCAGCAGAAAGTACGGGGCAGGTGGTTCCTCACTTCCCTTACCAAATATTTCCTCTCACCAAGAGCATACAAAAAAGAGAACTTTGAGAAAAATAAATGACTGAAAGCATTTGTTGCATGCCATTTGTTGAATGGCTGTATCAAAAACTTGTGTTTATCCGCCAGGAATCCTACGTAGCCTCGAAATGGGACATGGCAACAATCGATTTACTGATTAGGACTATGAATGTCAAACAGAAAGCAGCAAGTTACCTTGTAAAGGTCTTCCATAAATTGAAGCATGTGATCAATCTCGTCAGTTGCCAAATGTTCCGGAAAATGGCCGTTGGCTACGATATTTTCCCAGAAGTAGGACGACATTCCCTCCAACATCTCCGTCAAACTTGCATTCTGGAATAGATAAAGAGAATGATTAACTAAAATATTAAAAGAAATAAAATTGGATCTGCGTAAACATTCTTTTATACGTAATTTATACCTACGTTGTAAGATATAATGAACACTTCTACATCGGGAGAGGACGATAGCTTTTAAAACACAACGAGTATGATTTTCATCCATGATGGTCAAGCTAAGTGTAAGTAAAAGGGAGCACTTTATTAAACACTTTTGTATATGACCTTCATTGGAAAACATCCATCCAGCCGAACCCCGCCACTGGCCTTCGACTCCTCATAGAGCTGACTGGCTGTACGGAGAGGCTCATCCGATCCCTCTCCCTCCTGTCCATAGAACGGTCCACCGTCTCCGGCTTCGTCCCAACTCCAGCCGATGCCGTCCAGCCGGCCGTAGTCGCCGTAGTCGTGGTCGCCGTAGTCGCCGTAGTCGTAGTCGCCGTGCTCCGGCGGCACCAGCAGAGTAACCGGAGTGATACGGCGTGAATTCGCCCGCCGTTTGTTCGTTCTGACGCCTGCCGACCTGGCCCTCCGTCTCTGAGGGGGCCGGGGGTTACGTCATACTATGATTGTTTAGATACGTCTAACTATGTATACGGCCAGTCACACTGAGGGAGTGCTGAGTCAGAGATCCCGTGGGAGAGTCGTGAGTCGTGAGTCAGCGGCCCTCAGTCACTGCAGGGAGTCGTGAGTCAGTGATCCTCAGCTCATGGCAGGGAGTTATGACTCGGCGGTCCTCAGTCCCTGTAGGGAACCTATAAGGAGCTAGAGACCCTCTGTTCCATAGTAGCGGCTCAGTTTGGTAGTCAGCGGGTGACTCGCCATCCGCCGCTCCGCCGCGACTCAGGCCCTTTCGCAATGTATACAGAGCCGCCGACCGGCCTAACACACGCACATACGTCGGCACCTCCGGCCGTTTTTAGACGGGAACAGTGCTGTGCTCATCGCCAGCCGTGGAGGCAGCTGACGCCAGTGGATGCGTCTGGAGAGGCAGCCGTGGATGGTTACTGGTCTCTTCGATATAACTGAAGTAAAAATGCTTGAATGAGTGGGCTGGCTAGAATTTATATTGTCCCTTTTCACGACACTGCATTGGGTACCTGTTTGACTGAAGTTGAAAGCAGAGAAGCAAAGCAATCAGCATCTCATTCGAAAGATCTAGGCAAACAACTGCTAAAATCGCCCAGGCATTTAACGGATCATACGGTTCAAATAGGTGCCTTCCAGTGCTGCCAGACTTGGAGGATTTCCGCAAATCTGGAGGATTTTGAACTCTATTTGCGGACAAATTTCGCTTTTGGAGGATTTTTGATTCTGGAGGAAAATCTGGAGGATTTGTCGCCCGATTATTATATTCAATTTCATGGAAAAATATAACACATTCAAGACTAAAAAGGCATTTTCCTGCCCAGCGTCACCCTACCCGTTAGGATATATCACGTCCTTTATCACCGTGAGACTGCAAAATGTCTCAGTCTGTAGCTATATTTACGAGGGTACCAAACTACTGGCGGATCTAAGGGGGACATTTGGGGCAAATGCCCCCGGCCCCCCTGCAGCGCCTGAAATCGACGAAAATTTTCGTTTTTTTAAGATAAAACGAAAACTCAACAACTTTTATAAGAAAAAGTATCTATTAAACTGCACAGCAGTGCGAAAAGATTCGAAATCCGATGGGTTTTTAGTATTTGGTGAAACTTTTTTGGGGGTATAGCCCCCCGCAGCGTCCAAGACCGCCTTTCTATATCTACCAATAGGATTTGGAGGAATCTGGAGGATTTTTGTAACTGATATAGAGGATTACAGCCTTCCCCATCTGGCAGCACTGGTGCCTTCTGCTCGTTTGTATAAAGGCTATTAACTACTAGGTCGTTCAATAAGTAAGGTAAAATCACACGTATTTCAGTCCACATTTGATGCAACGACACAAAACTAGCAACATATGTTCATTGAAATATCGTCTACAAATTGGCTATAAGCATTTGTTAGCAGGTCTCTTCGGACAGCCTCCCAAGCCTTCGGAACTGGCACCTACATTCAATCACCGTTCAGGCGCACGCGCTTATCTCAGCACTCCACCCGGCGTTGAAATCCTGCTTGGAAAACTCCTTATTGCTATTCCAAAGCCATGTCTTGATTATTTTATCGATTGCCAGATCAGTTAAGATTCCGGTGATCCAAACAGGCTCAAGTGGGACGGCGCCAGATCACGGCTGTACTTCAGCTTTCCTGTACTGCTAAAGCAAAGCCGATCCCACACTGATGTGTCGCTGGGCGTCCTTCTGTTGTTCAGTGAGCTCTTTGGCTTTATTAACCTCGTGATGACCTTGTAAATATCAAGTATATCTGATGATGCCTATAACTGTTCCGACATAACACTTCACCCTGTTATTGAAAGCAGTCACACAGATGCTTCGGGTCTCCAATAATCAGCTCCCCGACTTTACAGATTGTGCCAAGTCCAGAGAGGCCTGCGTTCAAAAGTCTACCCTGCTCTAGAACTTTGTCTCTTATACTGCTGTGTTCTTGTTGAAATCGTACCAGCTGTTCACCAGCAAGCATTGCTAATGGCAATAGCGTCATCAGGGTCAACTCACTCATTTTGGGGTGAATTTTGGCTAGCGTGACAAATCGGGGATTTTTAGAACGGAACTCTGCTGCATCAATGTTTTCACATCGACCGTGTTCGGACAATGAGCCAAACTCCCGAAAACAGTTTCGAGGGTTGTGTAGAAAATTGTTCAAAGATTCAGATGGCATATTTGATTTTGCTTGAATTCCTCATATAAATAAACTATGGTACATTTTACCTTACTTATTGAACGACCTAGTACTACGCACGATACCTAGTAGTATATGGGTACCTAGTACGCAGGAATAGCAATAAATATTATGGTAAAACATTAACTGGCAAAAAATCAAAACTCGTTCCATTTATCAGCTGGCCGATTGCCGCCAAAGTCATAAGAGCCACCTGGTTAGATTGGTTTACGGCCGTCTCTCAACTCACCGCCTGGGTTTGCCGGCCACGCGTCCCTCGGCCGTCTCTGAGGTCCCCGGTGCGGCTGAAGCGACCCCGCGTCCGCCGGAGTGCCGCCAATCCTCCCCAGTCCTGGGAGGGCAGGTCGACCACGAGCGCCGGTCTTCGTCTGTCACCCGACCCTTCCATCAGACCGATATCCACCAGCGCACTGGCGGTCAGACGCTGTAGCCGCAGCAGGGCCGTCGTCAGGTCGGGGGCTCGCCGCACCGCCAGGCCGCCCAGCACCTCCTGTAGGATGAAGTCGGCTGGACGGGACGGGTATAGGTCAGAAGAGGTGGGCGCAGGTCAACTTTTGGAAGCATTACGGTCCACGGGAGAGTAATTTGACGAGAATGATCAGTGTCGTGTCACTGCACCGCTGTTTTACACTCGATGATTAGTATCGATTGACAAGAGTAAGCCAATACCGACTAAGAAATGCATCTTTTTACGTGAGCCTTTTTGCACGTTTATTGTAATACGCTAACACAGATCGTGGTGTTGATTTTTTTTAGCCTCGTAAGGCCAGCTCAAGGTCAGCGTGAGTCCTAGGTGTCAGAGCGCGGACCTCCAGCTATAACGCATCGTCTTCAGTTGCGTCACCACATAAAAACGTTCCACCTCGTTTGTGTGTGTATATGTCTTTTGGGGCATGTTTACACTCAGCCTTTGAGCCGCGGCGGTCTTGGCTCCAGGCCAGCCGGTAAAGCTCACAATAAAAAATGGGGGGCTGCGGACAAACCGCTGACCTGTTATTTTTCGAAAAGTTGCGGCCACTGAGACAAAGTGCAAACCCTGGCCCCATCCTTCTTTTCCTCTATTCCCTTTCAACTCCTCCCTCTCCCTCTCCCTCTCTCGCTCTCCCTCTCTCTCTCTCTCTCTCTCTCTCTCTCTCTCTCTCTCTCTCTCTCTCTCTCTCTCTCTCTCTCTCTCTCTCTCTCTCTCTCTCTCCATCTTTCTCTTTCTGTTTACCAGATTCATCCAGGTCGCTTTGAGTGCCGCGTATCTCGTAGACACAGTGCTGATAGAAGTATTGCGCCCAGGCAATACCATCTGAAGAACTTTTTCTTCCTTCTAGCAAATCTGAAAAAAACGTTAAGGTTACCCAGAATGAACTATAAATATCAACGTTTTACGTACCTGATTAGGTACCTAAAATATCTAATAAAAAAACTACTGCAGATGCTCAAAGTCTCCCAAATTCTATGCTAGCACCTGGCAGCGCTCGTGCGCTCCAATTTGGGCCAGAATGCGAGCCGTTGTATTGTTCGGTCAGGGCAGTTCGTTTTAGACAGTCAACAGAGATGTATAGCGTTTTGGTCACTCAACATTCCCTTATATAGCAGAGGATCCCTTGACAAAGAAATGATTCGTCCTCTGGCACGTGCCGGGACTAACAAAAAGCAGTCTCACGTCCAGCACTGACCCCGCAGCTGCCGCTCCACCTTGCTCTCCACGTAGTCGGCGCTGATGCTGTACCCGGACTCATGGCTGGAGAGTCCGAGGATCCGGGACTCTCGGATCCAGCGGCCACAGGCGGCCTGGTGGAGGTCCTGGCAGGGGTCGGCCGACGGGTCGGCGTACCGAACCAGCTGAGCAGCCAGCCACACACACTCCGGTGTGACGCACAAACCCGTCTGAAGCACAGCCAGGTCGGGGCGCAATGTCGTTAGCCATGGTGGAAATCGGATGTGATTTATAGGCGTGATCACTGTGCTTAAAACGGTCAATGCAATCGCCACATAAAAGAACTGATTCTGTCGAGCATGACTTACGATCGCATATCAAGCTATATAACTTGTAAAAGTAAAAGGTAAAAATGCGTTTCGTAACAACCTGCTCTCTTTCAAGTTTATATGTCATTTTAATCGTGGTCATTTAATGCGTCGAACTGATTATTAATGCGGCATAAATAAATAAAACAAAAAACATACAAACCATCGCATACCTATACCTAAGTGAATCCTGACAAAGACGACTTCTTATGTCCAACTGACGTACACAATTAATTCAACTTCCAAGAGTTGATCCGACTACTTATCCAATATCCATCTATTGCAAATGTGCAGCCCACACACACATGACACAAATCACTGCTGATTTCATATCGTATCGTATGTCGTATCGTATCGAATGCATCGTATCTCACCGCGTTTACACTGCGTGTCAGCCGTGCTGAGCCGGTCCCGGTGCCGACAGTGCCGGCTGTGTTCCGCTCCTCCGTCCCCAGTGCGGTGGCGTTCCCCGCGCCCTCAGAGGAGGCGTTCACGGCCGGCGACCGCTCCACATCACCAACCACCTGTGTCACCGCCAGCACCAGTCCCAGACTGGAGCTGAGCAGCACCAGTGTCAGGCACAGCAGGCAGCGCTCCATGCCGAGTCGGCGGCGACGCGCCGTGGCCGGGCCCGGCTCGGCCCCGTCCTCCTCCATACGGGAGCGGGCGCCGTCTGCGGCTCCGGGGCGCACGTCCGCCCGCCGCCGCGGACCGGGCGGGTGGCTCCAGTCACCCCACAGACCCGTCTGTGCCGGGCCGGTCGTCCTGTCTATCCCAGCCACCGACTGGAGCGTCGGATATAGTCGGCAGCGACGGACGCCGACGCGGTCTGAGCGCTCCGAGGTCGGATGGCCGCGGTCATTGTAGTTGCATTTGTGTATATGTTGAAGTACACTCCGCATCGAGGGTGTAATTTTAACTCACCAGACAAAATTCAATTTGTTTAGTTATGGTTGTTACTACACGTTTCATTCCGTTGCGCCATAGCCTACTGTATTACTGATATAGAGTAGTCTATGGTTACGCCTTATGGGTAGATGACTTGCTAATTTAGCTGACAAATGCATCAAATAAAGTTATGTTGATGATATATTCCGGGCATCATCGGTCACCTACGAGGATTTTTCTCACATGCTTAAGTGGCAGTAACTCATTGCTAGTACACATGGAGACAAGACGTGCGTTTGTTCATTGTATGTCATAGGTCATACCTTGACAGTTCTCATGCACCATGGCAAATCCAGGGGCATTTGAGGCAACTGCTCCCCTTCTCAAAGTGGCACCCGAAATCGGAAAAATGCGTTTTTTCGACAATAAAACGAAAGCTTAACGACTTTTATGGCGAACAGTTAGCTTTAAATTGCACAGTAGAGAGTAGGTAGGAAATCGAAATACGATGACTTTTTTAAAATTTAGAGACATTTTTTGAAGGGTAGTTATGTCCTCGCGCAGAGTCCAATACCGCCTTTCTGGATCCGCCAGTGTTCTCATGTTATTTTTCGTTTATTGTCACCAATAGACCGCGCAAAAGTTTAGCGTTGGAACACCATTTTCGTTTATTGCTATCAATTATAGACCTTACAAAAAGCTAGCGTTCTGGTGTTGCTGTAACACCCTTACCTAGCGCACAGGGGCGTAATTACTGTGCCCATTGTGTACCACAGTGAACATTCTGAGGAAAAACCCGACTGTATTCTTCGCATGCGCTATCGAACGGTGTGCTTTGCGCTATGGAATGCTAGTCCTGAGCGCCGTGTCCATAGCTTGAACCATATTTGCTCTAAGAACACGGACACATACACATAATCATAAGGAGGAATTGAATTTGTGCCTCGGAATGGTGTACTAATGTACATTTTGTATATCTTGTCGGCCATTAGGCTGATACACAGCGTCACTTCGTGGATAACACGGCCGCCAGGGAATGTTAGCAGTTCCAACCCACCGTCCCCGCGCAACGCTCCAGCCCTCTGGCCTCAGCTCCTCGGTAAGTGCGCACGAAACAATATCAGTATTGCTATGCTAAAAGCACGCAGCAGCTGTAAAATGCACACTGATGTTTGTCACAGAGGGACGGGGGCTGTGATAAGCCGAACTATCGGAAGCAAAAGAAAGGCGACGGGGAAAGGGTGATGAAAAGGGTCTGAATGATCGAAAAGTACTTGTTGTAAAAGTACTTGTAATTTCAAGAGAAATCTATTGGGAAAGACGACTCGTGCAATGTAAACGCGACATTTGAGCTATTAACTAACGCAATAATAGGCGGCCTTCATCTCGGCATTTTACCGGCTTATATACAAGTCCCCGTTTAACCTTTCGCTATTGACAGGATATCTCACGGCTCCATCTAAGTTCTACCATGATGACGAGAGAGGTGGTTCCCCGCCAACCCGAGGACAACCGCAGTCCGCCCGGTCCCCATCACCCCAGCGCTCCGCGGGTGTCCGGCGGGACGGAGGAGCCCCGCGGGGAGCCGACGGCAGCTCCGACACCGGCCGCCCGCGCCCTGCTGCTCCTGCTGCGAGCCACCGCGCTGGTCACAGGCGGAGACTGGACCGCCCTGCTCCACACACTCCTTGCGTTTACAGTGAGCTCCCTGGGAACGGCCGGATCGACTCGCAAGGCCGTCAATGACGGCATGGAACTGCTGCGGCGTGGTGAGACTACCCTGGCTTTGGCAACAAGTGGTTTCTTTGGTCTGCTGCACGGCATGATGTGGATATCAGTAGTCTCCTGTTTTTTGTCAAGTCGCCGTCAGTGCGAACAACAGCTCGTAACAATACACTCTGCGACTCACAGGCTGTCGAAGTTGTCCGGCATCTCTAAGCCATCCGACAGTCTAAATTGGAAGACAAACGGGCTTTTTGCCATCGTCCTGCTGCTAGTCCTAGTCATGATAGCTGCCACAGGCTTTCACATTGTCTTCCAACCCGGTGGCTGCCTGACAATATCAATGAACTGCGTTCTGACTGCGTTATATCTGGTCACATTCTGCTGGTTTGCTGTGACCTTTTGCCTCATACCAGTAAAATACGTACTCGCCTCTCTGTATGTGGAGAGCGGCCTGCAGGAAATCAACACCCTGTTGACCGCCATGGTGGAGGGCGCCTACCAGCCGGCCCCAGCCGCCGTCTGTGACGTCATATCGCTCCACGGGGAGCTGTCCCGCACCTTCGGCCGCCTCACCAAGGCCATGTCGACCGAGCTGGTGCTGGTGATGGCCTCCGGCACCATCGCCTGCGTCACCATTCTCCTGACAGTGGTCAGTAGTGTCACTATGGGCGCGTTTGATGACATGGCGCTGATGGTCACCCTCTACCTGATGATGGCCTCGGTGACGATGGTGCTGCCCAGTGAGGCCATCCAGCGGTGTCTGGAGGCGGCTGGAGAGGCGCGCGAGCTGCTGCTGGCCGCCGAGCTGCGCCAGCCGCCGCTCTCCCGCCAGCTGGGCCTGCTCCGGGAGTCGGTCGGCCGCGACCTGGACACGCTCGGTGAGCTGGGCCTGTTCCGGCTGCGCAGGTCCACCGTGCTCTCCATCGGCGCCACCATCCTCACCAACGCCATCATCATGCTGCAGTTCTACTTCGCCTGAGAGCGACACCATTCTAACCAGTGCTGTCATGCTGCAGTTCAAGTTCACCTGAGATCGCCACTATCCTACTACCAGCGTCGTCATCATGCTGCAGTAATGCCGGGTATTATCTGCCAGATATGTGCACGGATCCCAGGAAATGGATCTGGGATCTGATCCCACGGCTCTAAAATCCGATGGGATCATAGATCTCTCACGCGTCGAGACTCGAGAGGTTCATTGGGATCATAAATTCAAACCTTTTTTGTCTGTAGTCGATCCGATGAGATCATATGTAGATCTTTACTCAATTTTCGTCGACGCATACGTAGATCCTCGTGAAACACGTGTTGAAATTTAACAAAAGGCTAGTTTTGGGTATAACTATTATGTGATTATACGTCTCAATTCACAGTTTTGTGCTTCTTAGTCTTACTGACATGAAACCACGTTGTGGCTGTTAGCTGTGTTGCGATCCACTCGGACCACAAGTCTTGTTTCTCGTCACATCATGAGATCATATGTAGATTGTAGATCCCGGACATATTCTCTCTGCGGGATAGAAGATTGTGCTGTATTGCACGGATCTTTGTTGAACTTGAAGTGTGCACTTGGCGTTCAATAAATACATATCCTCGGTTCAAAGTGTTTCAGTTTTTCAAATGCCTAGTAGTCAAATGACTTAATGCCTATATTTTACAAGCATTTATTAAATGCTTATTTAAGGCTTGCTGCAGTCGCAAAAGAGTATGATTTTTAGCTCAGCTCATACGAATCTGGACGGCGGACGCCTATCCGTGTGTCCGTGTATCCGCGGTAAAAGGTTACCTATAGAAAACCGAAAACATTTGAGTATAAAGGGGAAGATTGCTGTGGACTGGGAGATTTTGTCCCGGATCAGCTGCTAACCGGCGTAGATGCAAATATACTTGTGATGAAAATCTTCAACAAATACCTAAACATGCTATGACATGAAAATGAAGCACGCATGATTACCAGACGCCTAATTTATTGCAATTAACTACTGAATAAAACACTAGCATGTACCTGTACCTACCTGTACCTTATGCATGTACGTACCTCTGTTGGTACGAAATATATGGCATTATTATTATTATTATTATTATTACTAGCCATCCTGAGACGACTCCGATGAAATGAGATCTGCGATGCAACAAGTTACGTCATTTTCCTTTGCCTTTTATAATATGTCAAACACCGCGTCTGTGTTTCTTTATATAAAAAATGATTTCACTGAAGATATAAAACATTTCTTTCTTAGAATGTTTTCTTATCTTATCCCGCAGTATTTACTCGCATTTTCGCTTATTATTGGTAACCAATTGCAGCAGTTACCAGTAAAAACAGCGGCTGGTCAATGATCATCCCATGCCTCTTGCTCTGCCACCTTGTTCGCATTCACTGGAATGCCGCCGTTAGTTGTCACCTCCAGTTACCCAGTACTCACCTCAATCACACACCGCTGGAAATACACGGCCTTGGGGATTCCCCTCCACGCCCCGCGCGGCGGGCCTTCCCCGTCGTTCCCCAGCAGTCACGTGACTTTCCACCAATCAGGGCCGCTGGACGAACGCGAGAGCGCCTGCGGGTAGGTATCGGATGACGCATGGAGCGGAAGGGTGCTTCTTGGGTGCTTCAGAGCAGCTTCAGAGCCTTCAGAGTTCCTGGGACTGCGTGAGGGCCTGGTTGTCATCGTCACTGCTCTGCGCTCGCAGCCCCACGGAGCCGGAGAGGAGGAGTGGAAGCTTTGGCACCTATTCAGGTAAGTTCACGGCGTGGCATCACCATCGTGATCATATTGGGGCCATTCCATGTCAACCGGGACAGCCAAAATCGGCCACCTCTGCGATTTTGTTCAAACTTGGTATACTTATTGGCTATTGGGTGAAACCTCTGAGGGTGAAAGGATTTTGTCATATGCCCTCGGGCTACAGAGATACCAGCCGCTAAACTTCTGCTTTTTTGTCAGAATCGGACGTGTATTGCAATCTTGAAAAATCTATAGCTTTAACATTTTTGAAGCTATTAATTTCAGTGGCGGATCCAGGGGGGGGGGGCAAAATGGGCATTTGCCCCCCCCCCAAACGGCATAATTTTTACATTATGACGAGGACGTTATTATAACATATGGACGAGGCATGGAAAGAATCGATAAATTGTTATGGTTTCCCCCCCCCCCCCAAAAAAAAAAACTCTGAGCTGGATCCGCCTCTGATTAATTTCAAACAAACTGAAACGTGTACAAAGAGTTATACTAGCTAAATTGGGCGATTTTTACATTTTTGATAATTTTGAATTTATTTTATTTTGAATTAATTTCTCAAAATGTAGTTTGTGACAATGGGTACCATTCGATTTTGCTCAAATTTAGAGATATTATCTTTCACTACACGTAAGACACACGTAATGAGAAAAATTAAAGTGCGGCCAACGATAACTTTGGATGATATAGCAACAATAAGTGCAGCGTTCACGCGCAGTGGAAGGGAGCGGATTTCGCTAACCCCACCTGTTTTCCGCTGATAATTCACGCCGTAATTATTATATTTACGTATACGTAAAATTTTTCGTACCTGTCCAGAATTCAATTGCAAATCTTCCCGTGCAAGCAACAGGTAAATCGGTCCACAACTTTTCTAGTAATAGCGGTGTAAAGTCAAATATCTTGCCTGAGCTGTACTTATGCACTGCACACCTGTCAACGAATTATATTTTATGGCGGAGTTTGATCAAGAGGCTCTCTCTTTCTCTCTTTTTCTTTTCTCTTCATCTCTCTTTCTCTCTCTCTCTCTCTCTCTCTTTCTCTTTCGTTCTCTCTCTCTTTCCCTCTCTCTCTCTCTCATCCTTATTTTTCTCTCTCCTTCTCTCACTTCTCTCTCCCTATTTCTTTTCATGTGAGCTGTCAGCTGTCGGCTGAATTACCTGTCCTGACCAGCCAATTCCTCCCCTCTCCGCCCTGCCGCCAGCGGTGACCTGTCTCCTTTGCTCGGAAAGCATCCGCGCCACCATGGAACTTCCGACCGACCTCCCACCTGTCCGTCGGGACACGCACTTTCAGTGGTCGGCGCTAGTCGATGCTCTGGTCATTGCGAGCATGGAACCTTCTAAACCGGTGACCTGTCCGGTGACGTCACGGGAGCGTTCTAAACGTCCGTTGACGTCATCTGGGAGTAGTGACCCATCTAGTGACACGCAGCAAGACGTGGATCAGCACTCAGCGACCTCTGAAGGTGACTCGGACTCCTCTGAACGGGCGGCGGTTGGGCCATCCGTTCTGGCACAGAGATACGACCTTAAACGTAGGGCACAGAAGGCTCGAAAACTCCGAATGAAAAATATCAGCAAAACTCTTCAAACAGTGAAAACTCTTAACAATGAGTATGTTAAAACAATAGAAGAGCAAGCGAAGCAAATTTCCGAGCTTGAGGAAGCGGCAAGCGTGTTAAAATGTCGAATGGTCGAAAGTGAAGATAACTTTGACGAAATAAAACGATCGATGCTGTTCGCTGTAGAATGCAGCATCTGCTGCTGTGTCTTCTTAGAGCCTGTGACGCTCAACTGTCGGCACAGTTTCTGCTGGACCTGTCTGAAAGGGGTGGAGGAAAATTCAGAGCTCCGTATCGGCGGAGGACTGGCCTGTCCGCTCTGTCGCACGCCAACACGAGATGCGTACCGGTCCGTCGTACTGGACGAGCTTTCCGAGATAATTCGGTCGTGGGAGGTGAAGGCGTGCGCTAGTCACTAAGTCTGGCAGCGGGTCGGATCCCAACAGTGTTGTTGCCTGATGAGGTTGGGATGACGGCGCTAGTGAGCCACTAATCCACTCTGAGTCATAGGCACAGATGGGTGCCGAATGTTAGGTGTTGATTGCCAGACAGCCGTCATTTCCGACAGTGTTGGGATCCAATTTAATGCGCAGAAAATGATATTCCAAATGCTTTCTTGTTGCTCTCTTTAATTGGCAATGTGTGCCATTGTCAATGTTTGTTGCTTTCTGCTCAGACTTGCTCCCGAATTTTAGAAGTTCGGCTGCCATTTTTTAGGAGTGCTACCGTATAACTAGGTGTATAAGTGACTTATTGTCTTCGATGTTCTTTGCTGTGAACTGTCATTTGAAGAAGGTGGTATGATTTCAACGAAAAGTGTCCATTTTCAATGATTTCATTAATTTGCACAAATAACACACGCTTATTGTAGGCTATACAATACTGCATTTATTTTTGCATTTTAACGGTAACAAATTACACTTTTGTATGTATAGATGAGAATCATGATAGCGGACTTTTCACCTAGGAAGCTGTGCGTCGTAATACACTCAGACCCGGGTCAACAGGTCATTCAGGTGACCTCAAGTGACCCCCGCTGCCGGCAGCTAACGGACTGAGCACGACTCATTATTGAAAACGGTCGGTGTAAACACCGCCATTTGAGCCAACAAACGAACACGCTTCGGGTCCACCATCGTAAATGCACTCGACATTATTAATGTCATACAACGTAGCGTTGACATCTTTTCGGCACTAGCGCAAAACACTGCTATAACAATGCTTTCAACAATGCTTTCAACAGCGTACAACACGGCATAAATATAACAACGTAAAAACAGTAACAAATATAACAACAACAACACTGGAGCGGCCGCAGGGCAGTGTGTCGACCCACGCCTAGGGTTTTCCCTCGGGTTCTCCACCGATGCCTGTGAGTCTCTGAAGCTGGACCGCGGGCTATCGGAGGAGCAGTGTTACTCGATACCTGCACAGGTGAGGCGCTACCCACCGGGACACCCGACAGTGCTGGTGGTACTTTGTGTCCATTGGTCACTTGCCCAATCGACTAACTTCACTTCACACGGCGGCCCCATGTCTGTTTGCCGAGCCAGCTGACCACAGCAACACAGAGGCCAATATGTCAGCCTCGAGCCATGTCCTTAATGGTATAAACAAATGTCCTGGCGTCAGTTGTATCATGTTGGGTCAACACCGGACGAACTAGGGTGGCCTCACCTATCGATCCAGTTCGATTGATCAGAACATCAGGATCTGATCGCCTGATCTCCGCTAGATTTGGATCCCGTTTGCCGGGGTATCGTTCCTCGCTGTGTCTCGAGGATCAGAGGAATGCAGCTAGTCCGGCCAAGATTCTGTCGTAGAAAATCCGCACTTGCCGCTACTGCAGTATATACCATAGGCGGGTCTCCGCCTCTGTCCACATCCTCTCGTGGCCAGGCCCTTGTCGGGCTGTTTGACCAGCAGCACTCCAGTCTCCAACTGGGTGACGCTCTACCTATCTCCGGCGGTGGAAGGCCCTGCCTCCCCCTCCACAGTGGTTTTGGCCGTGGTGGAGGGAGGGATGGTGCCGCCACTGGCCGCGGTGGTCGGCGCGGCGGCGGTAGTGCCGACCACAGACCCCTCACGAATCTGTTCCGCTACGGGTCCTCGCTGCTGCGGCTGAGGCGAGGACGGCTCCTCGGCCGAGGCCAGGCCAGAGCGGTGTCCGAGCAGCGCGCGCGGCCGCGGTCCTGACGGCAGCGCGGAGCCGGCGCGCAGCACGTACGCGGGGAAGCTGGGCCGCGGCGGGTACTGGCCGGGCCGGAGCAGCCTCGGCGGCCTCACCGCCTGTCTCGGCCGTGCTATCTGCGGCGAGAGCTGACGGATCGGCGGACGGCGCAGCACCGGCCGCAGCGGCGCCGGCGGCGGCGCCGACGACGGAAACAGACTCTTGGCCATCCGCTTGAACGAGGTGATGACGTACTTGATGTTGTCGGCAATCACCTGCGCCTGGGCCTCCGTGTCCAGCGGAGGCAGAGTGACCGGCACCAGCGTCTGGTCGTCCGGGTTGGTCTCGATCACGGCGCTGCCGTTGTTGAAGGCGTCCACCCTCCTGTCGAGCCGGTTGGAGACCACGCCGACCGAGTTGAGGTCCAGCGCCGCCGCCGTGGAGGAGCCGTTGGACGCGCGCCGCTCGGCCGGCGGCGTGGTGGCCGCCGTGGTCGGCGCCGTGGTCGTGGTCGTGGTCGTGGTCGTGGTGGTCGTGGTGACGCGCAGCTGACACCGCGGCCCGCCGAACCCGGCCGGACACGAACACTCGGCCTCCGGATCGTCGTCGACGATGGTGTTGCGGCAGGTGCCGCCGTTCTGGCAGAAGTCCGGCGTGTGGCCGCACGGGTCCACAGCTGGCCGGCGAGAACGAGGGTCGTGTTAGAGTGGATCACTCAAAATTACCGAGGTGGCCGAGATAGCCTTACAGAAACGGTGGCTCACGCATGACCAAAAATCACGTCATAAGCATACAATTTCCAATTAGCTGAACAGAATGCAGTTAATCTGTTATCGCAGCTTAGACGATTTTAATTTTAACCAACATTCAGTGTTTCAAGTTCAATCAGCAGTAACAATTCAAGGAGTAACACCACCGAGCAATTTATCGTACAATAATAGATAGTGTTTGTTTGTTTCGTTGGGTTAGGCCCTTTCGGCCAGGGCTGCGGAGTCGATGGATTTTCGGCGACTCCGACTCCGGCTTTCAAAAACCAGCTCCGACTCCGACTCCGGGCAGAATTGTTGACTCCGACCGACTCCAACTCCCGACTCCGACTCCGCAGACCTAGCAGGGCTGCGGAGTCGACAGATTTTCGGTGACTCCGACTCCGACTCCGGCTCGGGTTTCTAAAATCGACTCCGACTCCGACTCCGACTCCGGTCACAACTGTCGACTCCGACCGACTCCGACTCCGACTCCGACTCCGACTCCGCAGCCCTGCTTTCGGCTATTCAACAAGATAAATAGACAAGACTATTCCAGAGCCGGGAGGATGATGGGAATTTTGGGGAGACATTGGTCTGGGCAGGCACCTTAGAGTCGCCGGAACTAAGCCCATCCGAATGGACAGGCCGACCAGCCCCCCAAGCACTCTCTGCACCAGACTATGGGCGTGCTCCCTCGGGAGCAGCGGTGCCGCTCACTCGGGAGCAGCCCGCATGAGATAAAGCTGCCTGTCCAGCCCGGAGGGGGGTTGCAGTGTGGAGGAGAATGATTTGAACATCCTGAGGATAGGAGCGACGGACGGGTGGATCACAGATCTGCGCCGCCATGGGCCTGTTAGGCGCTGGATCGACTCACGTTTGTCGCAGAGGAAGCCGGTCCAGCCCTCCTGACAGTTACACTGCCATGGCTCCGTGCAGTTTCCGTGCACGCATCCGGGGTACGGGAAACACGTGTCACAGTCGTCCCCGTGCCAGCCGACACGACACCTGACGACACGTGTGTCACGTGCTGTCATACACACAGTCATAACAGCCAACGATCGGCGGGCGACGACGCATCGTGCTGTGGAAGCGACTTTGACAGGTAGCGCCTCTAGCGGACAATGACGAAATGAATGCGTTCGCCATCGCTCATAGGTGGCGGCAGGAGTAAGCGCCTGAACTTATACTGTACCGCAAGGCATCAGCGTTGGAATGCTTATTTTTATCGCATAATTTGCGCCAAAGTAAGAAGAGCAAGGGAGAAAAAATCGGCGGCTAATGATCCACAATAATAAGCTCTACGACAGTTTAGCAAATAGCGCTCCTGGTCAGCTTACCTGCACGTCCCCGGCTTCTCACAATAGCCGTGATCTTTGCTGCATCCCTCCGCACAGACGGCTGCAAAACAGGCGGACGACGCGATCAATAATTGTAATTGACTGTGCTCACTAGCGATGGAAGTTAGGGATTTTGTATACGTGAGGATTAAATAGCAGAGTTAATGTGTACCACATTCCAGCCCATTTCTGAAATAGTTCTTCAGACACCTCAGTGCTGGGAAAAACCTTTCAGCTGAAGCGCCGAAACACAGCGACATTGTACACAGTGTGGTCTGCGGAAAAAGCAATAAGCATGTCCGTTTCTACATGCTGGGCTGTCATTCAACAATATACAGTTTATGAGCGGACGTAAAATTCACCTTATCCGTATAATGGAAATCAGATGAAATGGTAACCTTTTGCTCATAACTAAAGTAATATAATTGGATTTGGATTTGGATTTTGGATTTGGATTGGATTGGATTTGGATTTGTTTTTAGCTTTCTTTAGTTATGAGCAAAAGGTTGCTATTCCATCTGATTTCCACTATAATCATAATCATGCTCAATAAAACGTTTCACATCATTCAATCATTATCCGTAATAAAGCAATGTCGATTAATAGCGTTTGCAGTAGGGTGTTGTTTCATATAGCTAAAACAGGAATAGCACGTTGTATTTATTCCCAAATCCCCATCATGTTCACCTAATACTTCTCTCTTTTCCCTTTTTAGACACAATGTCATCAAACGGCGCCAGTGGGAGGGATCGACAAGCGGAGTTGGACCGACAGAAGTGGTCCAGAGGTGTTCGCTGGACCGACGGCGAGTCGCCACCACCGGGCAGCGGCTGCTTCGCCTGGTGCTGTGGAGGCAGCGCTTCCAGAGGCAGCACCAGCCGCTCTCACAAGATCACGAAACGTCGCACCAGTTCCAACTGGAGCGGCGGCGGCGGCGGCGGCGGCTGGTGGGGTGGAAGCTGTGACGGCGGCGGCGGCGGCGGCGGCGGCGGCGGCTGGAGTGGGGGTTGTGACAGCGGCGGCGGTGGTGGTGGCGGCGGCGGTGGTGGTGGGGGTTGTGATGGCGGTGGTGGGGGTTGTGATGGTGGCGGAGGCTGCTAGTATTAGTGGCCAGGTTGACTTGAAGCTCAGCAAACTGAATTACCGATATCGAATGAAACATGCTTCGTCATCATCACCATTTCACCTCATGTTATCTCTAACATCACCTGTTCTACACACTACACAGCATATGTCTTGTAAAGCACATCGTTCTAGATACTCCATGCCGCTTTATAATGACCCGCATTTCAGTCATATTGACGATGAAATGATGGCGATGATGTAGCGGTACAATCTCGTGTGTACGGGGACCCGCAGTTGCTACTGTACACGAACCCCAACTATAGCTGTCTGTCCTGTCCAGTAACAACCGACAACATTGATATCGACTGCCGGTCCCTGTACAAGAGCAGCTGAGGTTTTCTGTGCATGCCCTCTGACAGCTTATCGTTGTTCCCTAGGGAACCTTCCCAGCACCTTCACAGCTGTGAAGGTGCTGGGACAATTTACTCAGGGTCGCTGTACAGTAGCAACTGCGGGTCCCCGTACCATCAACTCTGTCTCGTCGTTTAATGTTCTAACGGTTCTTTTATAATACATACATAAATATACAATATATTGCAACACCTTGTCAATGCATGCACTTGCCAGACTGCACATATACGGCATTTCTGACCGATCCGCAATCACCCTATGTTGTTACTAAATCATCTGATCAGCATCGTCAGCTATACAAACCTAATAGCCTACCTTATCATCTATTTTTTCTGCGTGAGATTTGCTTGCTTTATACGTAGTCTTTGATTAAGTCTTTGATTAAGTCTTTGATTAAGTCTTTGTTTGCTTTGTACGTAAACACAGAGGAACCATACTAATTGCGAACGTCACTTACCGCTCTCGCAGAAGAAGCCGGTCCATCCTGGCAGGCATTTGCACTCGAGCGGCTCCTCGCAGAAGCCCTTCACACACCCAGGCATCACCTGACATTCGTTGCACGTTTCTCCCGACCAGCCGATCCGACACCTGAGATAGAATGGTGCATCATTACTTTGAACTCGTTTGTGTATAGGAATGTATAAAAATACCCGTACTTTTGTTATACGTGGCTGATGAATCAGGTAGGCCTCGGGCGCTTGTACGGGTGGAAGGAGGTGGGCCCTTGATTTCTCTATGGGTGAATAACCAGGCAGCGGGCCAGCAGATGATCAAATGGGACACATTGGCACGGACACCGCTGGGACACGGTAACTGAGAGGATGACGCCGGAACAGCAGGTGATAAAATGGGACACATTGACACACATGATTCCATGGGAACATCAGCATTTGACCGGTATGGTAAAGATTTACCATCCGCGAGCAGTAGGGACACTCACTTGCATTCGTTGGGCTTTGAGCAGTATCCCTTTGTGCCGTCACAGCCATCGGCACAGACCGCTGAAAACAGAGGACAACGTCAACTTTCGCTATTAACCCGCGCCCTGCTGGGGGGGTGTTTGAACACCCCCCCTTGTGGTTTTTCGCGAATATCTTAAAAACGGCGGCGCGGAGCGCCGCCGTTTTTGGTACACCTTATCATACATCAATTCTACACATGTTGTGAAAATTTCAGACCAAGGTCATTCAAGGTCAGGTCACCAGGTCACTTGAAGTGACCTCACCTCATAAAAAGTTTCAATGTCTGTCATAGCTACACCGAGTGACCGATCGCTTTGAAACTTTCAGCGATTGCTAAGAGCAATAGCATGTACAAAATGTATATCTCAGAATTTTGATATCGATGACCTAAGGTCAGGTCAATTTTGCGACCTCCCCATTATAAGTCAATGGGAGAAAATTGAAATGCGCCTCTTTTGGACGAAAGACATTATAAACACTTCCTAACACTGAATTACAAGTGGTTTAGACACACTGAACATGACAATGGTGTCCGTGACCCCTGTTTATGCCCTGAGGTCATCTTAGGTCACGAATGGTATCTAACAGTTTTTCGCAAATAACTTTTGATAGAGGCATGCTAGAGCGATGAAAACGCCTTAGATGTGTTCAGCTCGACGATACGGATCGACTGATATGCAACATGACCCTTTCCGGTCAGGTAATGACCTTGACCTGAGGTCAAATTTTCAAGTTGACCTTTCAAGGTCAAGTTATAGTTCATTCGATGCGTCTTGACGAGAGGAACACGATGCCGGTAAAAGTAAGCTCGTACAAGGCTTGGGTCAAAAGTTATTGCAGAAAAACTGTTTCCGAAAAAATCGACTATTTTTGCAGTTTTTGCCCCCTGCAGGCAAAACCGTTGACGTTAGGTCAAATCTGAGAGAATTACTCAGAAAGGGCGTTAATAGGGCTATCGAATGCGCTTTTCCGCGGCGCTGTAGCTCTATTGGTTCCAGAGTTATGCGTTGGCTTCTTGGAAATTGTCGACCTTCGACCTGGAAATCGGCGAAATTTTGCCTTCAATGACCTCTGGTGACCTGACCTTTGACCTGACCAAAAAATTGACCGAAGTGATTTCCTCATTATTTTTGACGCTCTTTCGAACGCCGCCTTCCGCGTATCGCTACGTGGCCCAGGAGCCGAGTTAGAAGGGGGGTGTTCAAACACCCCCCCCCCCCCCAGCAGGGCGTGGAAATCCAGGACCCCCAGCAGGGCGCGGGTTAATTCCTGATATGCACCCTGACTGGTTTTGCTTTATTTTAACAAAGTTTTTTTTTTGTACGGGAGAATATTAGTTAGTATATTTGAATAGGGTGCACGTAAATTAGATATTATGTTTGTAGGGTGTTCGACGACTCTTCAAACCTCGTCATATTTTGCAAATCTTAGCAATAATTCAGTAGGTATATTGAGGTATCATTCCTTGGCATGTTGATTTGCATTGCTACCAGCGCGACGCAACTCTTTCACACTGCTCAGTTTCTCGTCGAACGTCATTCTAGCGATGAACTGACCGAGTATTCGTCTCTAAGGTTTGCATCTCTAGAGCAGAAGCCGCGGCGCGTGCTGGGCAGTCGCCGATTCACTTTCTCCCGAGGATTTCGCTGCAGCGGGGTTTCACGGGCGCGCGGCCGCGGCAGCTCTGAGCGGTCGGCACATGACCGTCGGTCGTCGTGGCGCGACCCCCCGCCCCCCGCTGGGCATACAAAGTCCAGAGCACAGTGGAACCCACAACCCACAACTGTGACACCGGACTAATGGAGCGTTCATTAATCGCTGCCGAACAACACATTCGGACAGTAATCCTATACGCTATGCTACATCTATTCAATCCTGCCGACGTAACGTAAAAAGCTAATAAAACGTAAAAACGTAACAAAACGTAAAAAGATAACCATGAATCACGCAGCCGAGGTGTAAAATATATCACGCGAGGTGCCTAGCGGAGCACTCACGGCGTGCACTGCGGCGTAGTGCGGCGCACTGCGGCGGACACGTCTCGTCACTCCCGACTCGTCACTGCACGAGCACCGATCCGTGAGCCGTGACCGGGGCGGCACAAAGGCACGACCCCTCCGCTCGGCAGTGCGGCTTTCTCTGCCGAGCTCACCGAGCCAGCCCGTGAGACGTCGGGGATGGGTGAGGTCGCGCGCACTGCAGGGTATAGCAGTGCCTCTATAGCACGCGCGGGGCGGCCGGTCGGGGATGGGTGAGGTCGCGCGCACTGCAGGGTAGCGCACGCGCGGGGCGGTCGGTCGGGATGGGTAAGGTCGGCCCGCACTGGATGGTGGTTCGGGTGGAGCATTGGTCTGAGGCACACGTCTAGCTAGCTCGCTACGATGGACAGTGTGTGCGATGATAGGGCAGGGAAAGTGTTCGGTCCCTCAGTCGCCTAAGATAAGCAATGACCAGAGGTAACTAGCCCATTCAGCAATGCTAATATAACTATGCCTCCCTTCTACAAACATACCTGTTCGGATATCTCGTATTCAAGGACCATTTTTCTTAGACTGAATCATACATGTATGACTTCAGGCAGACTCTGCGTCACAGTCCGTGAAAACATTATGCCTTCCCTTCCCACTGCCATACAGGAGAGCATGTGCGGTAGCCCCTCCCCCCTCCCCCGTGTTTCCGCTCTGTGACGAAATGAGCCACCCCTATTCCCTGTCGGCGGCGCGGCGCGGTAGTCGGATGACCGGCGGAAACGTTGGGTAATGGGCCGGATATCCTCCCAGTTCCATCAGTCGCCACAATCGTCCCCGGACTTACGGCCGAGCGTTGATCTGATAACGGATCTCGGACTGAGTCAAACGGGTCCGGCAGGTCAGACAGGTCAGACGGGTCAGACTGGTCAGCCTCATTGGGTGCGGGCACGCTTCCGCTACTAATTCTACACGATATTGCGAGGGGTGAGCCGTACTTTCGCTTTCAACCAGAGGACAATGTGCAAAGTTGGCGTCATCTGCAATGTGCACTAATCAGCAAGGAGAGCGCAGAAGTGACAATAGTTAGGTAAATGGAAACCCACTCTGGCATTCGCTGATGACTATTCGTCCATGGTGTTGCCGATTTTTTTCTTTTTGCATATCAAGAAATAGTGCACCGAATAAGTGATAACTTTTCGTTGATCTGCTTGACAGAAATTCATGTTCGTAGCACGAGAAATTTCAATCAGGCTCGACACAGCTGCATGGCAAAGCAGCACATTGCATTGGTGAAACAGGACGCTGCTTTTGCGAAATGAACATCTCAAAGGCTCTCTAGCAGCTGGCGACTACCTCTCACAGGACACTGCATTCCCGACCTCCCTCCCTATAGCATATTCAGCCGGGTGGCTTTCACCTCCGCCGTTTGACATCCGTGACCGGGCCTCGGCTGGGCGACAGGCCGGTGACATTGACATCATAGCACACAAAACCGGGATACGGCTCGGTGGCCACTGGCGCGTGCTCACTTTCTACTGTTGGACTTTGTCATCGCGGCTCATTTGAAACACAATGCGCGCCGGCATTGATGCCGTTGGAGACGGCAGCTTTCTGCCGCGTGATTTTCCATAGTTGTGAGGTTTTCCGGAATTTGCGGGAGCTGGTCTCCTTAGTTAAAGGAAAAGGGCCACCTTTAACCCGCGAGTTGCTGGGGGGGGGGGGGCGTTAAACGCCCCCACTTTTTTCGCCGGGCCATAGCATAAAAACGGCGCGCCGCAGGCGCGCCAAATTTTGGGTACCTGTAGGGAATTGATTGAAGTTTATTGTGACAAAGTTTCAAAAAAATCAGTCGGAAAATTATTGAGATATCGAGGTTTTAGTGACGTCATGATTTCTGAGTTTTCGACCAAAAACGGCATATGTTCAAAAAATCATATAAAATCACAGAATAGACATACAGACATGCTGTAAACGCTATTAGACTGCCAATACCATGATCAATCAAATGGCTATCTTCGATTATTGATTATCGTTCCGCATTTTCCATAATCTTGAACTGAATCTTGGCAATTTTTCGTGACTACTTCACGACCATGATACATGAATTTCTTAAATTGAACTTTTTGAGCCAAACACGTACACATATGATAAAATGAATGTCACCATCGTGTTCTACGCCCCAAATTACCTATAAAACATGTGTCACAGGCTGCGAATATCAGTTTTGATTTTCGGGGATATGTGCCTACCCGGTTGACCTGACCTTGACCCTGACCTATGCTTGACTGACCCCTACATGGAGCTGACACTCCTGTAGGCATTATAAGATGGATTGTGCACCGTTTTGACAGAGTTTATGGCGAGAGGCGCCCATTGCGAAGTCCTGAAGTCCATGCTACTGAAAGCCCGATTTCAGGTGTTTGACCTGACCTTGACCCGACCTGTGACCTCAAAATTCAACTTTAAAGTACTCATCTGAAGCGTCTCGTCGCGCTCTTTCGTTTGCCGCCTCGTGCGTTTCGCTGCGCCTATTGGTTCTCGAGTTATCGGCTGGGGGCGTTTAACGCCCCCCCCCCCCAGCAAACGGTGGGTGGCGAAATACCCCAGCAACTGCCGGGTTAACATGGGGATTGAAACTGAGATAGCCATCTTGTAGCCCGTGTCCGAAAACCTATCTATGTACCTCCTTACGGCCGATTTCGGCCTCCATTCGTAGTTATCGGCAATTTTAAAAGAAAATACGCCAGGAATGCGTCCTTATCCCAGGAATGCGTTCTTATCCGACAATACAGCCACCCGCGGCGAGGCTTTGGTTTTTTACCAATCAGCTCCAACCAGCTCAGCTTTAACCAATCAGCTTATCTGACACAATCCGACGAGTCTGTCTTCTGAACGCTGATTGGCTTGAGTGTGACGTCATCGCTATGCCATCATACAGTAGGTGGCGTAGAGAGTATCAACATAGTACCAATATGTTAAATAGTTTTAAATACTTTTTCGCGAATTGTGCACTTCTGGCACCAGTTTTAAAAAGAAAATGAAAAATAATAATGTCAAAATGAAAAACAACGATATCTTCATATTTCACGAAGGTGGCCCTTTTCCTTTAACTAGATGTTCGATCGTAACCTTTTCCTTTACATTGATTGTTCAATGAATTGATTATATGCAAACCCAAAAAACCTTGTCACCACGAATAATTATCAAAAAAAATGTCTGAGGGACCGTTCAAGAAACTTACGCTGATTGCAGAACAGGCCTGTCCAGCCCTCGTTGCAGTGACACTCGAAGCTCTTCTTGCAATGCCCGTTCATACATCCGGGCAGCTTGACGCAGTCGTTACACAGCTCCCCGCCGTAGCCTGAAATGGACGGGTGTGTTTATACACCGCACTGGGACAGATCGCTGGGGCAGGTAAGACCACGTCACCACACCCTTGGATGTCACTGCAGAGGACATCTGCGAGGAGAGCAGAATTAGGAAGCTACACCATGGGAGATATAGCATTGCAGCTAGGCATTAGCCGTTTTTACGACGGGCTAGTTATCCGGCGAGTGCACCTAACTTGACCAAATCTGCACCTAATCTCTTTTACATTAAATATCTTTATTTCATGAATTTATTTCAGTGTTTTAATCGATGATACTCTCTGATGATATGACAAAGCAGGCATATAAGCAATAAAGCAGTACATGAAACCCCCTAGCTGATAGCTACTAAGAGACACACTGAACCTAATTTGACCAGATCTGCAACTAATCTGCACCAAATGTGCACCAAATGTGTACCAGATGGCCGTCGTGAAAACGGTTATTACCGTCGTATGAAACGATTTATAGCGAGCAATCCATAGACAAAATTGTTATTAGCGTAACAACAAGTACATGCTACTAGAAAATTAACGTATTTAATCATACATTTACACCGTTGTATGGCAGATCCTCTATGCCGGCACGGCGGTCAGCTACATAGGTGTGCACAGTCGTGCCAGTGTCGCTTTCTCACCGATTTTGCAGATGCACTCGTTGGGCTGTTTGCAGTAGCCGAGCAGCGGGTCACAGCCGGCCTTGCAGATGGGCACGTCACACACATCACCCGTCCAGCCGGGCAGACACTGGATGAGCCCGTCCGGCTGGCACTTGTAGTGACCCTTGGTCTTGGCGGCCGCCTCGCATGTCTGAGGAAAGATCAGGGAGCAGTTTATCATTATTATTACCATTATTACTTCGCTTATTTCCACTAACCACTTATCACTCCATGTTACAGTCAGTCACATAGAAACAGTACCCAGAGGTGAGTGATATATCAGCTTAGTTTCAGTATAGGTATATTCGTGTTTTCTTTTTCGACGATTTCGCTGGGTCACGTGTAGTGAGCCGTGAGGTGATGTTGAGCGAGTTAGCCGGCACCGCACTTATATGCTGTTTGATGAATTTTGTGCGTGTAAAAATACATGATTTGGAAAAAAGCTTCAGTAGGTGTGTTTTTGCCTCAAGTTCGTCCCGTAGCTCAGCTGGTAGAGTGTTTGGCTCCGTAGTGAGAGCCTAGAATCGAGTCGCACCGCGGCGCTCGATTTATAGGACTCCTGTTAAGGGGGTGGTTTGCACGATAGGAGGGAGCAGCTCCAGTTGAATTGGACAAGCCGTGTCCTGCCCGAAAGGACACGCTAAGTTTGACACCTTAATCCTGCTGTTAACCGGCATTGTATGGGTAGGTATGGGACCTTTAATTAGTTTTAACCCTTTCGCAGCTTGGTTCATTGACCCTTCGAGCCGGGAAAACTCGCGAGTGATTTTCTTTATCGAAGGTCAAAGCAGCACAACTCGTGAGCGCACACGCACACCTCAACTCCAGTTACTACGCATGTACCGAAACAAAATTTCCCCTTTCTCCAGCCTCCGTTGCACACAACTCCAATCATATGACGTCACCCAGACCAGTGTGACGTCACGCCCGGCGGTGAGATGACGTCACCACCAACTGGGTCAGCGACTGTGGCTTACGTCACCTGCAGCAGCGGTGGTGGGAGAAATCGGCCCAGAGACCGACAGACAGACAGACGAACGGCGCCACTGATCAGGAGAAGGCACCGGGCTTACGAGCACAAAGAACGCTACGTCGCGCCGGCGGGACAGAGAGCGATGGGACGGGACAGGGAGGAGTGGGACAGGATTAAAAGGGACATGTGTCAGTGGGACAGGTGCCTGATTGGGAATGTGTGAGTGGAAGAGGGGGACAGCGAGGGGGAGGAGTGGGGCAGGGTTAAAAGGGACATATGTCAGTGGGACAGAGGTAAGTGGGACAGGGAGGAGTGGGACAGGGGTGGGTATGATCGGGTATGAGTCGTTTAGTGGGACAGATGATAGTGTAATCGTAGTAAATGGGGGAGGGACTACAGTAACAGGGACAGGGATTACCGGGACAGGGACTACAGGGACAGGGATTACCGGGACAGGGATTACCGGGACAGGGATTACCGACAGGGACAGGAATTACAGGAACAGGGATTATTGAAACATACCGGGGGAGGGATTACTGGTAAAGACAGGGCAGACATCGCCAGGACGTGAAACCAGTGATACGAAGACTACAGCGCACAGAGGCCAGCAAGGACTACAAAAGGTTTAGTCTCGAGTCGTCAACGTAACGGAAGCCTTGGCCACGGCACGAGTCATGACCAGCAGTGCATAAACATCAACATTGGCTTCAGATCAGGGACACGAGGCCAGTATTTCCAAGCGGAACGACCTGGTCAGCGACCGGCCCAGTTCTGAACTGACTATAGCTGATTCTCGCCAGCCACTTGTGAAGACGACATCGGCGCGGCGATGCCTTTACGGGCTGCACAGTGCTCACGATCAGGTTGTCACCAGCTGCAGACTGTCATATAGAGTCTAACTCAGACCGAGTAGCTCCGATCGGGGACGCCAGTCGCCGGGTCTGCCCGAGGTCCACCGATGGAGGCCAGCCAACCCTTGAGGCAGGCACACCGGAGAGGAATCGGGGTCAGCGGTCGCTCCGGCGGACGGCCGAGCCGACACGATGCCTATGTTCGCTTCCTGTAATCAATGGACGCCGTAGTGCCCCGGAGAAGGAGCCAATTGCGCACGGTCTATTTAGCCCTGAGAATGGGCGGAGCGGGAGCGGAGCGACTCCAGTGATAGACAAAGGGAATGTGGTAAACAGGATGGGGCTGGAATTAACAGGAATGCTTCAGTAGCGGTGACGCACCGGCGCACGGTCGGTCCGTGACGAGCGCGTACACGGTGGAATGTGATATCTGACCTCCCAGGGCAGCTCGGGGCGACTGGGCAAGGCCGTATGGCGGTGGGAAGGACGATATCGCCGCTCCTTGCAACGTCAAGCGCGAAACAGAGAATAGAAGTTAGGACAATAGAAGAACACATCCACCTCACCTCATTGTGTACTGCGTAGTTCCTAATTATTTAGCGTAAAATCATCTCGTGAATCGATCATATCAATTCGTCGTGAACCGTCACATACCTTCGTCGGTGAGAGATAGGTCAGGTTACCCAGTTACAGCCACGACTTCTTGGTCAGCAGCCAACGACAAGCCGGTCACGGTGAAAGCCATCGAATTGACCCACCGCAAAGGTGACACTGGTCGCCGAAGACCACAGCTGAAGACGTCTCAGTTTGCATGGGGAGGGGGAGGGTACAACTGCAGTACCCGGTGCCGCTGAAGCCTATGCTCAGCCCAGTGCGCGCGCGCGCGCGCGCGCGCGCGAGAGAGAGAGAGAGAGAGAGAGAGAGAGAGAGAGAGAGAGAGAGAGAGAGAGAGAGAGAGAGAGAGAGAGAGAGAGAGAGAGAGAGAGAGAGAGTCAATGCAAATATCTCCACCAAACTATCTCGCCCACGAACCCGGCACAGCCAGCGAGCTCCCGGCACCACGCGATGACGGGTGAACTTCCGCATGGTCCCCGCCCCGCCGCGCCGCCGCGCTCACCGCCGTCCGCCTCCGGTGGTGATGGTACTACCGCCGCTGTGAGAGGAGGCGGGCGACGACCGCACGCGGTGAGACAGCGCGGAAGTCGACCCGTCCCGTGCCGGGAGAAACTGGTGTTGAACGAGCGGGAGCAGCGGCCGGCGAGCAGCACTGCCGGTGTTGCTCAATTCCCCTCCGGCGGTTACATTCTCCTTTCCGGCCAAGGCGAGAGAGGAAGAGAAAAACGGGTCTGTTGATACCCAGCTGCTGTTTTGAGATGTTTTTTCAGCTCACATCAAGTACAAGAAACGATTATGTCTATTCTTGTGCTTCGATCGGCTTGCAGATCATGGCAGCGACCTTGCAAAGGTCGAGCATTCTTGCTTGAAGCCATTTAGCACAGGGATCCTGTAGCTGGTCGAAGCGGACCATCTCAGGAGACAGAGACACATATCTGAGAATCTGACGGACGCTTCCGGAACTGCCGCCGGAACTGGACCACTTCCGGTGGTTCCCAGCGATGCGGCGCAGCGCGCGGATTTCCTCCCACACCGCACAGACCAGCGGCGGCTCGAGGCGGAAGCCGCCGGCGCTGTGCGGTCGGAACTGAGCTTCCGGTGACGGGAGCCTTCCGATCATCCCTCAAACGGGTTAGGTGTTGCACTTGACTGGTTTATCATTTCAGCTACAGTTAAAACAGGATGAAAGTGAACTGGACAGATTATAATGTAGGCGGAACTATGTGAAACAGGTTGCTAACAGGTTGTTAAACAATGAACCAATTATTACACTGGTGATGATTAACCTTATTCCATAAGGGCTACAATCTATCGAAGGATGAGCGTTTCAATGATGTATAGCCAAGTCACGAATATGTATGATATCGCCTACTTGTCTTTTTCTTCTAGATATTAAAACGGCAACACACAGTGCGGCAAAAGTTAGGTAGTCAAAGCAGACTTGTGCCAAGATTCCAAAAAGATCCGAGATCCAGGATCTGCAAGATCCAAGATCCGGGATCTTGAGGGATCTTGGATCCAGCACTTCAGGTTTTGCCGAGGGATCTTGGGGATCCAGGACTCTGGTCATCATTTTGTGGAGGGATCCTGGGGATCTCGGATCCTGGCTTTTGATTTTGCCGAGGGATCTTGGGGATCTTGGATCCTGGTTTTGGATTTGTCGAGGGATCCTGGGGATCTTGGATCCTGTTATTTTAGCAGGAATATTTTACACACGAGTCTACCATGATTAGATGCCTACAAAACCTATCTATTGCTAGCACATTCAAATCTCCTGAGGATGAATATCTAGCCCGGAAAACCAATTTGTGCAAAACATTAGCATGTACAACTGTTAAACTCACTTCATACTGGAAGGAGGGCATACTCTAATAACTAAGGTGTTCAAGGCTTCAAAGTATATATCAGCATAAACACTACTTAGACTTTGTGAAACGTACTAACTATTAACTGGATTATTTGCCAGCTGACGTCGTATGGTGGCGCTAGCAGAGCTTGTTATATATCAATGATAGATATAAAGTTTGGTCGGTATCAGTTTGGCATTGGTCTCGAAAATTTCTTAAATTTACATCACAAACATGTAGGTACATAAAACATTTCTGAGATTTACATCACTAGCATTACATGTCCATTTAGTGCTTCTCCAGGGCTAGAGCTGAGTAAGTTGCAGTCTGCTGTTGCAAATCACAGATGAATCATCCTAAAATCATGGTTGCGCGTTGGATCTTGGGGATCTTGGATCCTGGAAGTCTGATCTTGCGCGGGATCTTGTGGATCTTGGACACTGAAATTTTGATTTTGCGTGGGATCCTGGGGATCTTGGATCTTGCAATCTGATTTTGTGTGGGATCTTGGAGATATTGGATCCTGAAATTTTGAAATTGTGTGGGATCTTGCGGATCTTGGATCTTGATTTTTGGTCGAGGCACAAGTCTGAGTCAAAGTAACCTGAACAATCATTGCGCACATGCCCGGAAATTGTGCTGGCATAAAACAAATACCGGGTCAGTTACGTTAAGTAAAGTAGACCTGAAACTAAAAGTTCAGAGGTCACGGCAAATCTCGCACGGTACGGGTTCGGTTGTTGGTGAATACATTAACGCCAAAAATAATCACAAAGTCGTGGTTTTGCACCACAGTTTTTGTCATGCTCAGGTGAGTCGAATTATATAATTTTGTTCGGAAGAGGTCAACTTTAAGTGATACACTGACTTCAAGGTCAAGTCAAAGTCACTCAGGTCAGGGACTTCGTGGTAGTAGGTCATGCTGCACGTCATTAAATCGGCAGATTGTTTTGAGTCCATTGGTAACCTTCCCGACTCAGTAGGCCCGGGCAGCGCTTGTCGAACAGCACTGCGGATCTGAAGGTTGGGACTTGAATTGTGAAAAACCGCCCGCCCGCCGCAAAATGCAAACACCGCAAAACGCACAAAACGCACGCACAAAACGCCAACGCAAACTTTACAAAAATAAACAATCGCCCGCCCGCCGAAAACCGCAGAAGAAAACGCAAAAAAAACGCCGCAACAATCAAAACCACGCGCATCGCACGCACGCCAACCGCCAAAAAACGCCCGTCCGCCGCAAAACGCAAACACCGAAAAAACAAACACCGACGCCGCAAAAAAACACCCGCATCGCCCGCCGCCAACCGCAAAACGCAGCAAAAAAGCGGTCGCCCGCCGCCAAATGTAAACACCGCAAATATACGTCCGCATCAACCGTTTGCCCGCCGCCAAACATAAACACCGCCGAAAAAAACGCCGGCATCGCACGCCCGCCCGCCGCCAACCGCAAAAAACGGCCGCCCGCCGCGCCGCCAACGCAAACACCGCAAAAAAAACGTTCACATCGCTCGCCCACCCGCCGCCGAGCACAAACACCGGAAAAACGCAAACACTGCCGCAACCGCCTCTGACAGCTTCGTAACATGTTACGAAGGCACCAAAACTACTTCGTAAATGTTCAAATGGTTGCTAAATTCGAAATCAGCTTCAAAAACTATCCTAGAAACATGTAAAACTCGAAAAAGTGAACCGAGGTCACCAAAGGTCAATGACCTGACCTGACCTTCAGTCCTTCAGGTGACCTTGACATCCACCCAAATGCATGGGAGCAACATCAAATCACATGTTTGAACTTTAGAAACCACGAAAAGCTTGCAAACGCGCGGCTAATGCGAGCCGACATACGCCGAATCGCGATTCAAGCCAAACATGGTCTCGGAAAAGAGGTCACAGGTCAAAGGTCATTTGGGTCAGGGTCATGAAATTTTCAGGGTAGGTGTAAAATGGATCAATGCGAGGGTACTGAAAGTTTCGTCGCGATCGGTCGCTTTTTACGCGAGTTATTCGCGAAAAACCATAGGGGGTGCATCAACTGTGCCGGCGAGGGTTAACGGTGCATTAATTCATAGGCGGCGGAGCGGGGAGGGCACTGAGGCACCGTGCCCCCTTTGATTTGGGAATTTTAACATTAGCCCTATGGGCGTTGCATGGAAAGAATGGGACCAAAAGTCGGCAGTGCCCCCCCCCCCCCCTGCTTAATTGAAGGTGTTCCGCCGCTACTGCATTGGGAAGCTATACCTAGAAACATTTTATCAGCGCTTGGTACAAAGCCATTTAGCTTGTGAATTTAGTTTTTTAAGGGAAATGCTGCTCCAAATATGTGAACAAAAATATTTTAATCGAGATCGATCAAGACTTTACTATCGATTTTCTGTCACACTAGTGGACACTGGACAGTGATCCAGATCGGATGTTACAGCATCAATGGACAATCACTGATCTAACTGATGCGTGGCATGATGGTTGCGCCTGTATTTCAGCTTATCTATTTCAAGTAAAAAAATTTCCAATGAATCTTATATCATATATGATATTACTTAGCCCAAAACATTTCGCATCGTGAGCTCTTGTCATGAATGAATAATGCTAAACAATGGATTAAATGAAAACAGAAAGTGTGCATGAGGGCGGTATCATAAATTTCACCCGCAGTGATAATCCCTTGACCACGAACTTCCCACGCCTGATAATTATGTAGCGTAACATTAAATCTTCTGTTTGAATGCATAGTATGTGGAATCTTAACTTCATCGCGTTCCAGCTCGTTGAAATATTTGGAGACCGCCAACCTCACACGAACGCATATCACTATCAGTCATACCGGGCGAGAATTACGAGCAATACGCATGCTTTTGTTTTTCCATCTCAGTTTCCACTCCAGAACAGCCGGGGGAGTATTTATCTACCCCAGCCGTACCCTAGCCTCTGTCTGCCCCGCCCTACCGCAGCCTGTATCTAACCCGCCGTGTTCCAGCCATGGTCTACGCCTACCATAGCCCGGCCTCTGTCTACCTGTAGCCATACCCCAGCCTTTGTCTATTCCAGCCGTATATACCCTAGTTTATGTCTACCTCCGCCGTATGCTTCGATCTCTGCCCACCGCAACCGTACGTCAGTCTATATATTTCTACTCCGCCGTACCTTAGCCCGTATCCTCCATCTACCCCTTCGTTCCCAGCTTCTCCGGCGGCCAGCAGGTGCGTGTGTCAGTCTGCAGCTGCGGACAGCGCGCTGTATGACTTCAAATTGACCCACTATCACCCGGATACCCTGTCCAACTCTGCAGCACCCAGCCCTGCACCCCCGGCCGAGTATGGCCCGCTAGACAGAGCCCTCGCAGCTGATCCCCGGTCCGACCGGCGCGCGACTCAGAGCCGGAGGAAAGTGAAACCCCGGATATATGCGCCGGGGTGTCACGCGTGGGGCGCCCGTATTGGGGGAGACTTGCGGTACTTACCAATCGAAATTCGGCGGAGGCAGCTCCAACGAGCAGGGAGAGGACTGCTACAGTCCACATTTTACACAGTTGATGTCCCTCTAGCGATTTGAGAGACCACCGAGGTTCTGGCTCTTCTTCAAGCCAAACCGCACTTCAGACACAAGTCTGCATGTTGGCAGTACCGGACTCTCACAACGTTCCAATCACAGCACTTCGATCACACTGCAGGCTCACACAGACACAGCCGGGCTCCACCTTCTCCCTGTTCAGCTCTCCGGCACCGACTCACAGCTGTCCGTCGTCGCCACCTCCAGCACTGTCGTCGCGCGCATGCGCCCGCCGGAGAAAGTGCCTGCCCCTGGCGACCTGGATCGGCCCGCGACGGTGCCGGCCGCCGGGCAGCGCCGCGCCAGTGGGGGCGGTCGCCGGCACCGATTCGCCGTCTATAGATGAACGGAGAGCGACCCGGCACGGCGGGCCGTGACCCAGCGACCTGCTCGGAGCGCTGCCCGGACACCAGCTGCCTCGGACGGCCTTAGAGGGTCGACGAGCCCAGGTGGTTGATTTGTAGCGCGAGTGTGGTAGGGAGGGGTGGCGATGCTGCACCAGCTGGCGAAACCCGCCACCTGGCCTTTGTTTCAGCGGGATGCTCTGTACCGCTACCACGAGTGTGTTATACACTTACTTAAGCAGAGTGTGCTAATTATTAACATTTGCCATGGATAAGTATTACATCCGTCAATTTATTGTCATGCTAATCAGCTGCGATCAGCACAAAAATTAAAAAAAATTGCCTGCGTCATGCGTGATGCTGCGTGATTTAAAACACAAACACACAAACTACCCATCCCTGTCGGCACTCGGTCACGGGTCATACCTGGAGCAGAATATCAGCGCAGAATATCTAGTCACGGCTTGTCGGGGGACTCTCTATAGGTGTGTCTGCCGGTCCGTCCATCTCGATATCATCCGAGCACGGTCAGCGGCCGCCCACCTTCGCCGCTCGCCGGGACTTTCCGAGGAGTCGGGTCATCCGCACTGGAGGGGAGTGACCAGAGACTGTCCGTGACCAGCCGCTCTCTCGGCGGCAGATTTAGATGAATCATGATGAGGATGCATTTAGGTTTGGACGCCAGCAGGGGCGTATTATTTGTGGTTGCTAAAAATTCCCACATGAATAATGCGTTTGAATAGAGAGTGATTAAACGAAGATACTTTTATTTTAAAAAAGTGCCTATTTGCGTGACTTTCGATGACAATGTTCAGGCTAATTCTAAATTAATCCTTATTTATTTTCAATAATTTTAATGTGTTTTTGTGTCGTTCCTGCGCACCGTCCATATCATAACCATTATCCGTGCATAACAGTGGTCATCCAATCGTGAGTGCGTTTGTTGTACACACTCCCATTGCAAAGTCGGCCCCCGCTCCCAATTAGCACTCATCGTCCCCTCGGTCATACAGCCGACTCCCCCCGTTTTACTCATCGTTCCCTCGGTCATACAGTCGGCTCCCCCCGTTTCACTCACCGTTCCCTCGGTCATACAGTCGGCTCCCCGTGATGCCGGGTCCGGGTCACACACCAGTCTGACGTCGTACTCGAGCTGCACGTGGCCCTGCCGTACCCTGTCACGGGACCAGCCGGGAGCCGGGGCCAGCGGGCGGCGCACCACCGTCCGACTGATGATCCGAGGCCGCGCCACTGACGACAGGGCAGGGTGGAGAGGTCAGCTCAGCGGTCATTGCAACGGGGCAGCCTGGGCAGGTCACGAGTCACATCAGTGAGTCAGATCGGGTGTTAGGCCACAGGAGAGGAGGTGGGATGCGAAAATAATTCAGATTAGCCGACGAAATATCACGTGTCAGGAGAAAGATCAGTCATGGGTTAGGTCAGCGGTCAGGTCAGTAGTGAGTTCATGGTGAGATCAAGGGTTAATTCAAGAGTGAGATCAAAGTTTAGGTCAAGGAGCGGGTATGTGGTCTTTAGGTTTAAACCCGAAGACAGCATTGCATGCCTATTATGATTCTGTTTTGCATGTTAGGGTGGTCAGAGTACCTAACTTGGAAAACGGCCTCGCCAGCTAAAAATAATGGCATATCTAATCAAGAATGTCACTGTCTGGCTCACCTGGTTTGTCGGTCGCTGTCGGCCGTTCAGAGAATAGTTTTCCTGTGGTGTCGTGCCACGCCTCAATAGTGAGGTCGAGCTCACCCTGAAACGACAATTGAGCTCAGGTCACGGCTTGTTTGGCCCGAACAGTGTCTTCAAAATGAAACTGGAACGCACGGACGAGTAACGTTTAATTCAGTTGCTTCTGAGTACAGTGGCAAGTAACTGATGAAGTGAATAATCAAATCTAGCACAAATATTTTTAGCTGTGCATTACGTATGAACTGCGAGCTCACAGCAAAATCACAAACTGAGAAAATCTTAAGATGTAGGGTGTAGGGTGTGCAACACATACGTTCCACCATTGACGTGTGGACATAACATATGCGGCTCTCCCTTCCCGGAACGTAGTTACCTTCCTTTTCTCTTATTCCCTCTATCTCCCTTATAATTTCCCGCCTCAGCTCAGCCCTCTGCGCACACCCCCTCCCCTCCCCTCCCCGCCTCACTGACCGGCCAGGCGCCGTCGAAGGGGAACGTCATCTCCAGCACCCGGTTGTGCTGGTTGACCAGGCTGCTGTTGGCCACCACACCAGTCACCAGCAGGCCCAGTGAGCACGGCAGCTGGGGACGCCGCCAGCGCCGCTCCGGAGCGCCGCGCCGCGCCGGGCCCAACCGACTGCTGGGCGGGTCTCGACGAGCTGCTGGTCTCACAGGGGGCGCTGCTGGTGTGACGGGAGTCGCTGCTGGTCTGACGGGAGGTGCTGCTGGTCTGACCGGAGGTGCTGTCACCTCCAGTGGTCCTGGTTCAGTTGTATCGTCGGGAGATGATGGTAGGTCTGTGGAAGTTTCAGGTCCGATGAACTCCCAGGACGGAGAGCTCAGGGTCCACCCTGCTGTATCCTCGGAGTGTTTGTCGTCTGTATCGGGCTGGTCCCCGTGCTTCTTTGGCTGAGCTGTCTCACCGGATTGAGGCAGAACCTCAGCGTCTGCGTCAGCACTTACAGCATCATCTTCAGCATCGAGAGTCACATCATGGGTTTCTCGTTTCTGTCGCTCATTGCAGCATGTGCCTTCTCCACTCCCATGCTCTTTCTTCCCTGCCTCTCCACCACCTCCTACGCTATCAACATCGACACTAGCGCCAGTGCCGGTGCTGCTACCGCCACTACCGGCACCTGGTGGACTCGGGTGAAAACTAGCCTTGTCCGATCGCCGACCAGTAGCAAACTGTAGCTGGACCAAGTCCCCGTGCTCGAAGAAATGAAAGCCGATGTCCTGTGGATTGCTATCGTATTTTGACTCATGTGAGACGGTCATCCGAGAAGATAGCTGCGTCTCGTCAGCTAAAGCTTCGACGTCATCGGTAGAACCAGGATTATCGAGGATGATTATGGGTCGGTGTGGTGAAATGAACCCATTCTCCTGCTCGGACAGCTCAGAGGCCGGGGACAAGGAGACGTCTTCTGTGGGAGTCAGCTCTCCCTGTCGGTTCTGAATAGCATCTCGAGCTGGAGGGCTGACGACAGAGAATGGGGTGGCCTGTTGGACGATTTGTAGGCTGGCGCTTTTAACAGTCACCTCTCCGTTAGACGAGGTGCCTGCAGAGTGCTCGGACTTCGCTGCAGCTGGCGGAGCAGAGGGAAGCTCACGCTCCAACGTAGGTGAATCAGTCGTGACATAACTGCGGTCTTCAACAGGCACTGCAGCGTCAGGTGGTGCCTTATCTGTCCGTTCTTCCTTTTCTTCGTTGTCCTCCTGAGTTCCCATTCTCTCTTCTATCTCCTCTTGGTCGTCTTCCTCCTCTCTCACATTCTGTTCCTCTGGTTCCTGCTCTCTATCTGGAAGATCCTCATCCAGTTTGCTAGTGGAGGAACTCTCAACATGTTCTTCCAGCCAATGAGACAACACTTCTGGCGGTGGCACGATGGGATGAAGTCTGGTCCTGTTGAACCGTCGGGAGGGCAGTCGAGTGAGCTTAATTCCAGGTGATCGCACCCTCCTGCCATTCACTTCAAACCCACCGCTGTCGCCGCCACCGCTGCCGGTCGACGCACAGACTCTGAAGAAGGTGCTGCACTCGCCACTGCAGGAGGACTGCTCTGCACGCGCCGTGGGCTGGCAGCAGGCGCCGCCCAGCGCGCGCGACTCGGGGTTACTGAAGCTGACCAGACGCACCTGAAGCTTACCGGCTGCCTCCACCTGAGGAAGAGACGGGGGAGTCTCACACGTGGGACGGGAGAGGAATATCTCACACATGGGAAAGGAGAGAGGGATTTATCTCACACATGGGATAAGGAGGTGGAATAATTTCGGTTCAGTCGGGCTGCTGCAAGTTTCCAGGGATTGAATCTAAACGTGCTGTGAGAAATATGTGTGTTTAAACGTTTTCCAGGAACATATATTCACGGTCTAATTTAGTTTGTTTCAGATGTAAGAATTGCTGGCTATCGGTTGCTTATCCTTAACTTTTACACATACGAGTGCATTGATTGAACGCAAGAATATGAAACCCCACTTGCCCAATTAATAGCATATGTAGTTTCGGTAAACTCACCACTGGGAAGCTGCTGCAAAGAAGAACAATCACTCCGATCCCGATGATATGCATGTTGAAGAAATGCGTGTATAAGAGGCACCGCAGTTTTCCCTGTCCGCTCTTACACCAGTGCCTATGGTACCCAAGTTCACAGTCTGCTCTCAACACTGTCACACTCACATATAGGCTGTCACATCAGCAATCTGATCACTGTCTCCTGTCACTCTTTCCTGTCACTGTGAACCTCAAACACCCACAGTCATTTCGGTAGTGGTCACTCCCCTGGCCACAACTAGCCACCGATTGCACCACACATCACAACTCTGTCGCCATTATATAGATATCGTCACTGCCTATCTGCTAGTCCCGCAGTCCCGCGTCACAGTCCCTACCGCCACAGTCCAGAGTGTCACTCTGTCGCCAATAATCGCCGAGCCCTTTACGACCACATTCGGGTGCTGAGTACTGTTCTGCAAGTAATAAGCATAGCTCTTTGAGTTTTTCACATTTTCTGAAAATGTCGAGGCCTTGCGGCTGCTAGAGTTCACGATGAGTGGACTCGAGGCCGTCCGTTTCGCCCGCTTCCGATAAAACTTCCACAACAGTGTACGTGGCTGACGTCTCACAAATTGTTCGACTGAAGACACTACAATAGCTGTGGACTATCCGCAGATTAGCGCAACGATGCACTGACGCACTGACACACTGATGCACTGACGCACGATGAGCTCGCTGACTGACGGCAGACAGACTGACGGAGGTGTAGCCGGCAGAGTGGGCGTCGTGTACCGCGTCGAGTACCGTGTCTAGTGCACCACTGAGCCCACCATCCAGCCCGGCTCGGCTCCCTCCGCCGTGACTGGTGCTCGGCCGCACACCGTTGTCCGGTTCCGCACTGCTGAAGGGCGACTGACCTGGCCGGCCAGCAGCGGCCGAGGACGGCACGGAGACCTCATCGCGCGCACAGCACACTAACACCGCCCGCTACATTCATACGCCGGGGATTGGTGGCGGACCACCGCCCGCCGGCGCGGTAGTGGGCGGTGGACGGTGTGAGGGGCGGCACAGTGGGCCAGTAGTATTGGCATTCTTGAAGAGCTTCAGAGCGTGAAATTAACGGTCTGTTTTGTGTGAGTCGCATTTGGATTATGTTTGTTGTGCGGAACATGTTTTGTAGTTTACGGATGGGTGTTTTGAGGGTTCACGTCAGTTCGTGAATCAATATTCTGTCGAGCTTTCAGAATCTCTAAAATAATATGCAGTTTTTGACAGCTTTATCTTGCGTTGGTATTTACTATTTAGAAGGTAACATTGTTTGGACACTCAAGTGTTTAGTTACTGATGCTTGATGCTATGCAGAGCTGTGCTTCAGCCTTCATGGCGTAATTCATTGCCCTATAACGGCTCATGTCCCGTTTTATCGTTACACCTTCCTCTGAACGTCCCCAGTCGCTTCGTGAGTCCCTAAAAAGTCGCTTCACTGCCTGAGATATCGTCATCGTTCGTCGTTGGACCTTGATTAACCCGCGCCCAAGTGTGGGGGTGTTTGAACACCCCCCCCCCCCTGCGGTTTTTCGCAGATATCTCAAAAACGGCGGCGTGGAGCGCCGCCGTTATTGGTACACCTTATCACACATCAATTCTACACATGTTGTGAAAATTTCAGACCAAGGTCATTCAAGGTCAGGTCACCAGGTCACTTGAAGTGACCTCACCTCATGAAAAGCTTCAATGTCTGCCATAGCTACACCGAGTGACCGATCACTTTGAAACTTTCAGCGATTGATGAGGGTAACAGCATCTATAAAATGTATATCTCGGAATTTTGATATCGGTGACCTAAGGTCAGGTCAATTTTGCGGCCTCTCCATTTTAAGTCAATGGGAGAAAATTGAAAACCGTCTGTTTTGCACGAACGCTATTCTAGACACTCTCAAACATCGAGATGTAGGTAAAATTGACACACTGAACCGGAAAATGGCAACTGTGACCCCTCGTTATGTCCCCGAGGTCATCTCAGGTCACGAACAGAATCGCTAACAGTTTTTCGCTAATAACTTTTGATAGAGGCGTGCTAGAGCGTAGAGCGCTGAAAACGCCTTAGATGTGTTCGGCTCGACGTTGCGGATCGACTGATTTGCAACATGACCTTTTCCGGTCAGGTCATGACCTTGACCTGAGGTCAAATTTTCAAGTTAACCGTTCAAGGTCAACTTATAGTTCATTCGACGCGTCTCGACGAGAGGAACACGATGTGGCAAAAGTAATGTCATGGCTCTTTTGAGTCAAAAGTTATCGCCGAAAAACCGATTTTCGTAAAAACGGCTATTTTTGGAGTTTTTGCCCTCTGAAGGCTAAACCGTTGACCTGAGGTCAAATCTGAGAGCATTATTCAGAAAGGTCTGTAAAAGGGCTATCGAATGCGCTTTTCCGCGGCGCTGTAGCTCTATCGGTTCCCGAGATAGCCGTTGGCAGTTTCCAAAATGTTGAAATAGTCAACATTTTACCTTTGGTGACCTCTGGTGACCTGACCTTTGACCTGACCCAAAAAATGACTGAAGTGTTTTCGTCCTTATTTTGGACGTTCTTTCGATTGCCGCTTACCGCGTGTCGCTACGTAGTCCAGGAGCCGAGTTAGAAGGGGGGGTGTTCAAACACCCCCACACCAGGTCGTGGAAAATCCAGACTGACACTGGGGCGCGGGTTAAGAAAGTATCGCTACCGCAGTAATCTCCACAATCATCTGTGACGACATTCGGTCGCCATATTTACGTCACAACAGACCATTACCCAAAATAACGACCCATTCGATAACGGAGTCCACGCACTTTGAGCGCCTTCTTTAACCCAGAACCGGCAATATTGGTCGTCAAGCAACAACATGGAGCGATTCGAGGCAATAGCCGCCGAGGCAGGCGTCAATTAGACGGCGCGTGACGGTAAACAGGCAGTGGAGGATGCTCTACGCCGGGCGCAGCCGACGGTCAAGGACCACCATTTCGACACAGCTGCGGGCTGCGGGTGGGGAAGTGGCTCCTCACGGGTGGTGCTGTGTCATCTTCGTGAGAAACTCAGCGGCGGTGATGGGTGGGAGGTTTGGGGGAGGGGGCTGAACACGGCAGGTGCCGCAGGTGCAGCTGGGCTAAATTATTATACTCTGTTTGATGTATTTTGCTTTCTGTGGTGTAATTACTTTCAGTTCTGTGGCAAATCTGGAGAGAAAGTGATTTGGGCTTAGAGATCACCTAAGAATAGAAGGTGTTCGATTGCTCTTATGCGTTGGAATCAAAAAGTAAAAGTAAAATAATGACATGATTGACTGAACACTATTCTGCATTTTGACTCGTGTTTACCACTGCACCCAACCCTTGCCAGTGAATGCTCGAGCCTCGAATTTAAAGCGGCATATTATCTTTTCTAATAACGGGATGGCGATACAAATATTCACTCACTTTATTTCATATGTACCTATCTATCATTTATACACTGTCATGAATAAAAGAGAAAATCAAAACAGCATTTTACAATGCAACTACGATACGGCACACCCATATTCAGTCAACAAATCGCTACTAAATATAACAAGGTGCTCGCATGTCCTCTAACCTATGCTTAACTATATGTTTTCAGCTACTCAACATAAATATAATGCTCTACCACCTAATTATCTCTACAAATACAACACGCAAGGATGTTCGAAATATCGGCGAGACTCATAACAACAAATTGCTTTAACAACAAATTCAACCACGACTTCTAAACGCTTTGGCATGATCAATTGAGCTAGAACGCTGTTTCGCGAACATTGCGATCCTCCGTTCTTGCGAATGTGCGTGGCTCGTGCAGGAAGCTCGCTCTGCTTCCTGGTGACTAGAACTTTGGAGAACCTGACGAACAAAAGTGCAGGTAATCAATGACTATCGCTCGTATTGGTTTTGTTCATTACTCATACATCTTTAAACCTATCAAAACCAATCCGTGCTGCATGCATCTTTTTTATTCCTCATTTGATTGCTTAATGCTCAATGCTAATGATCGAAAAAAAATAGCATTAGCGAATGAACGTGAAACCTTGGCAGTTCTTAGTCAATATTTTACTCAACTGATCCCCCTTAGAAAAAAAGCTAAAACCGTCATCTCCAGCAAATATTATTACCAAAATAAGCCAAGATGCCACACAAGTGGTTACTTACTAGCGCGGAAGTAGAGATCGGCATACTCCTGCGATTTCGGCACAGGTCAGCTGGAGTCGTCCTCAGCACCCTGCCAGTCAGAGTCCAGTCTGCGGAGGACATTCTCCTGGGTCAGCGGCGCCGCGCCCCCCTCAGCCGAACTCGAGGACGTCGGGTCACTCCTGCCTGTAGCGACGTCGCTAAAGATGGCCGAAATGTCGGGGAACGGCGGCAGCGATCCACCGAACGGACCCGACTCGTCAAAAAAGTCCTCGTCGAAGTTGTCGAAGGCAGCGGGGGCGGCCGGCCGCGGCAGGGCCGGCTCGGTGGGGGCCGTGCTGGTCACCTCAGAGGGGCTGGGCTGCGGCGGCTGGGGGTGGGCCGGTGACAGGGACAGTGGCGCCGGCGACTGGGGCTCCGTGACGGCCACAGCTGCCTCCGTCGGCTGGACCTGAGGCTGACCTCCCAGCGGGAACACGGGAACCGCCTGTCCGCCGGGCACCGCCAGGAACACGGGAACCGGTCGACGGGGACGGCCTGTCAAAGGGGCGTGCCGTCAGACGTCGGGGCAAATCAGAATCGAGAGAACGGCTTGAGAGGGGTCTGAACCGAGAACGGTTGTCAGAGGGTGGAGCAAGACTGTAATGCGAGGAAGCGGCAAGTATATGTGGCAAGGCGAATCCAATATTACTTTACTGTGTAAAGGGGTGAGCCTGCTTAATTGAACGATCCGTCAAATAAGGCCTGCTGTACCACAGAGAACAATACTTACCTACATTGGACAAAGATCTAATCTGGCATCCGATACACTTTTTAGGCCCCAGAGCTTGACGCCTGCACCTATCTTTGTCTTCTTCATACCACGTGGTGGATCTCAGTTTACCATATAGCGCCTAGCGGTCTGAGTTTTATGCGTTTGGTAATTGCGTCACTACATACTCCAGCACGAGCTTTACCGTTATGATGGTGGCCCGGAGCAGCTACGGTGAACAATTAAGCGATTATTTCGAGTAGCTCTGTACGCGATACACGGAACAATTATCAGTCGAACAATTTGAAACCACACACGCCGGGCTACTGATGGGCTATTGCTTCCACGCAATGTGACGAGAATAGCCGTTTTTACGACGGCCATTTGGTACACATTTGGTGCACATCTGGTACAGATTAGGTGCAGATTTGGTCAAATCAGGTGCATTCGCCGGATAGCCCGTCGTGAAAACGGCTAATATATATTATAATGGTGGGCAGGGTGGCGTCTAAAACTATACTATTCCGGTTCGTTAGAGCAACTTCTTTATTCAAACAAAAACTTGGCGTTTCATTTAAAAATGTTATCTGATAATTTGCTTTATTCTTGCATGCTTACAATTTATGATAATGTATTGGCATTTGAAATTATTTATGGATAAATTGCGCACTGCTTCGGCTATCCGCTCTCCGCCTTGCATTTTCAGTTACTTACTTGAATAACTAAGTTTGGAGAGGACTAATTCAATCTCGTCCCTGTCTCACCGTGTCTGATGAAGGGCCGAGGTCGCCGTCCGCGGACTCGAACTCTCATTCCCTCGACAGCTGTCATCGCCAGGCACAGGGCCAACAGCTGACACATCTGAGAACAGCGCCGGGAAAGGTGAACTGACGCTCACGGCCCGCTCGGCTTATTAAATAAGCCAGCACATGACTATTATGTCTGTCAGAGCAGTGGAGCAGTTGGAGCACGAATCCGCATGATGGAAGGCAGCACATGTGACCTGCGTGGTAAGCTTCAAAAAGCTATCAATGGTAAACAGATTTTACATAGGAGGAGCTGGCAATTAAAAGCAGCCTACATAGGACGGTTAGTCGCTAGAGCACTAGCCAGTTGCTTGTGATTTGAATATGTTAACTATTTCACGGGATCGAGCTCGAACATTTCAGTCATCTGTCAAAAACTCACCTGAATGGAAATATTCATATCTGCAGTGCACCTCCTCTTGGTCCAAGCTAAACAAAATATGTTTCCGCCACAACACTTGTGATCCCACCACCTCTCACTGCCCGACTCCACTCACTTCTGTAAGTAATCCTCGCACCATGTCGCTTATAAGCCTACTTCTCCAATTGAGAGCGAAAGCGACGGTGTTGGCGGCGGCCGCGGTACAAATGAAGGCACACCGCTCGAGCAGATGGCTGGTGGTGGACTGCCCTGTACCGCTGAAACAATGAGCGGTGACCGCGCCCGGCCGCTGACCGGCGCGAGGCCCACCGCGGCGAGTTTCAACATCTCCCCTGGTCATGGACAGAGCTGTGTCGCTTCCAGCCTGCCAGGACATTGTAATCGAGATTGCCCTACCATTGTAACAGGAGTCTATGAGTAACCGTCGGAAAAGGAGCCATATGCCCGGCGGGTACGAGTGGACAGCGAGCGCCGGCCCGCGCGGTGGCGTTAGAGGGACGGTGGCGATACTTTTACTTTTACTCGGACGATTTACGTGTTTACGCGTACTGGAGCGCCGCGTAGTGCCATGGACAGAGTGTTACATGTGCGTGTGGTCACTGTGGGCTAGCTGGACAGGGTGCATTTGTAGTGAATAACAAAATTAAAAATATGCTAGTGAATCTCAAAATACGTGCATTTAAAGCAAGATGAATTTTAAGAAATGTTGCTGTATATTCCAGCTACATATTGCCCTTTGTCCGCTGGGTTGTTTATTTGTATTGAATTGTAGTGAGTATCTTTGATACTAGCCGATTTAATATTTATATTTATATTTATTTATACATATTTAATTTGATATGATACATATACTCCGCTAGGGTTGATTAATTGTATCAAACTGTAATAAATATCTTTGATATTAATACAATTTGATATTTATAGAACATTGCAAACCTATTCAATCATTTAGTTGCTTCTCACTTACCTATTTCAATATGTGTAGGTATGCGTCATAGACATCAAATTAGCGAAAAGCACAACAAAATTGAATTTTAGGTTTCACGAAAAATTGGTTTGTCGCGAACGAGTAAAATTATATTAGAAAATATGGTCTCTGGTGAACCTGTCTTTGGGCCTGTTTCACTAAAAACTTGCGATTACAAGTGTTTGAACTTTACAATTCATAAGTATTTTTGCAAACTATGTAAAATCGGAGCCCTGTTCGGGCAGCGCATCCTACTGCAAAATTTTGCACCACGCATGCGCAGTAGGGGTCTCTCGGGTGCCAGGCTCCGCCCTTCGGGGTATGACGTCACATGTGTGACGTCGGCACGCGCAAAATCTTTCAGTTTTGCGCAACAAGAAAATAGGAGCTGCAGGAGGCGAAAGTGGCGCGAATTAAAGTTTACCGTCCTATATTTCTTATTGTAAGCGGTTTGAATGCTGTTTTTGGGTATCATTATCACTTTTTTCAGTGGCACATTGCTATTAACCACATTTGAACGCATTTTATTCAGTTTTTGAACGAAAACCACCAGTACATCCGCGCCACGGTTCGTCACGCGTCGAATAATGGCTGCCGCGGCCGCCGCGGCCCTCGGCTCTGGCGGCCCGGCGGAGAGTGGGCGGAGCCAGTGGCTGACATCATCACATGTGTGACTTCACACTCAGCAAAATATTTTGCGCGGACCCGAACAGGGCTCCGATTTCACTAAACTTCATCACCAGCGGCACCTCCGATAAAAAGAGTTGGTAAATAAACTTGTAAACAGTAAAATTGTTTTTAATCAAGAACTTTAACATGTTACAGATATTGCTTCTTTTTATCCAACTATGTCTAGTTTTCATGTCAGAAATTGCAGGAATAAATTAAAAATAATGATGCCGTTTCTGAGTGGTATAAATGATAGTTCACAATATCTTATTATTGAAAGAAAATAACACGTAAAACATTTGACAGCAGAAGACTGTTGAATGCAATTATGGCGCGCGAATGACAAAACATGACGATATTTATTTATTGCTCGTAGCTGGTTCGTAGGGAATGTGCTAAGTGAAAAAGAGGATATAATGACTCAGCATATCATATTTGTTTTAAATAGTTGATTGCTTTGCATCATTGCACAAAAAGTAATAAAATTCCAAACGTAAGGGCCACTGGAATTTCGGGTTTGTAAGTACAACGTTTTCTTTCAAGTTTTTGGTCTTCGTGAAACAGAAAGTTTGCGATTTCGATGTTTCTTACAAACTTTTTTCTTGTAAAAAAGTTGGTAAATTTTAAACTCAAAATTCATTCCCGAAGGTTTCGTGAAATCCAAATTTCAAATGTTGGTAATTATTTCTTTTAAACTCAAGTTTTTTCTTTGTAATTACACACTTTATTTGTTAGTGAAACAGGCCTATATCAAATGGATATTCTTATAGCCACTTCCGAATCGAGCGTCCGAATCGTTACTTCTCTTCAAGAGGTTATGCACTCGATGTATGATGAGTCATAGATCTCTGTATACCGAGGTCCATGAGTTGGGCAGCTATTTGGCCATATGCCATCTATTCCGTGTTCCTCTCATTTTCATGTTGCCTCGGAGTCAGATAAGACACAGAACCACACGCTTTCTGAGCTTCTCTGACAAGTTATTCCCCATCCCATTTGCCAGTGTAACAGGTTTGTGAATCATTGGCTAAAATAGCCAGGAAGTTTGAGTCACTGCATTGTAGGGCATTTGCCCCAAAGTCCTGACAGAATATCAATATAGCAGCCGATGTGACTTGAACACAAAATGAGACCAATGACATACTACATACATACGTCGGGGAGCTTACTCGCTGCCGTGTTATGCATACCTATTCATTGTTCTGTAGCAATGGGATCGTACGTGTAAATCGTAATTAAATAGGGAAGGGTTTTCGAACCTTGCAATAGATGCACTAAAGCATGACAGAAGAATAAACGTCCAAGAACTTTAACACTTTACTTATGGTAAGTGTTTCACGTGTACAGTAACCTCAAACTTAAAAGTATTTTGCAATCAATGCTTTGTGTCAAAGTCAAGTTGCCCCTTTCACTGCACACCACTTTGATTAGCATGGCAATTCCTTGCTCGGGTACATTTAATGATGCATAAGGTATGCTTTTCGCATTTTTGATTTGCCTCGAAAAGCAAATCAGTCGCAATAAATTTTCTCGTCTTGTAAAAAAAAAGTAAAATTAGATGCGATTTACCCAGACAAGATTAATCGCAATAAAACTTCCATTGGGACAGGCTATGCAAAGTTTTATCGTGCATTCATAATCCAAGTGCTCCATTTCTTTTCATATCGACCCACATCACAGTTATAGCTTACAACAATGTATGTATTGGCACAGAACACAATATATAAATACCAACAGACAAATCACGATCGGTGGTAGTCAAAGGCGTGGCGGTTACATCGTAACCTTGCACTTTCACTTACAAGGAGATGCATGCAACTCTCTCCTCACTCACTCTCTTTCAATCTCCTTCGCATGCATCCAGGTACAAGCAAACACACAAACACATAAACATGTCAGCACCAAGGATAGGGAATCACGTAACTTGTAAGGGAACGAAAGGCGCCTTAGTTAGAGGGGTACTTGGGCTCGGGCGCCGGATACTTGGGCTCGGGCGCCGGATATTTGGGGGCCGGGGCGGGGTATTTCGGGACCGGGGCAGGGTATTTGGGAGCCGGGGCGGGGTACTTGGGTTCGTAGGCGGGGTACTGGGCCTCGCCCTCGTACTGGACGTCGGCCACGAAGCCGGCGTCACCCTCCGACTGGTAGGTGACGGTCTGGATGCGGCCGTCGGGCAGAGCCACGCGGTAGCTGCCCTGGGTCAGGTAGCCGTCCCGCTGCTCCTGCTGACCAAAGTCGGCTCCCGTGTACTGATCCTGTACCTCGTAGCCGTAGGTGTACTTGGGAGGCACCTGCCGAGACACGAGACAAGGCTGTCAGAGACGGACAGAGACACATGCACGGAGACACGAAAGGGAATAGAGGCGCAGGACTGGGCTTGCTGGATAAAGGGACAGAAAAGTCACAAGATGGGAAGCGGCTGGTTCGGCACAACTTATTGACTGCTCGTATTGTTACACTGAAATGCTCTTTTTGCTTTGGCCGAAGCGCAGCCGGCCGTAAAGAGATATCTTTAAAAAAAGTCACTTATCAAAATGAGAATCAACGCACTGGCAAATAATCCTTAATAGTATACGGCATAGGATAAATACTTCCATACGATAAATGCTTAAATACGATAAATATTCACGAGATGTTGGATGGCAACAAAGAGTTTCGCTTCAGCATACATAAAAGCTACGAAACTTACCGGAGGGTAGTCGACTTCGGGCTTGGCGGGCGCATACTTGGGAGCCGGGTATTTGGGGGCCGGAGCCGGGTATTTGGGAGCCGGAGCCGGGTATTTGGGAGCCGGAGCCGGGTATTTGGGAGCCGGAGCCGGGTAGCTCGGGGCCGGGGCCGGATTATCGGCAGCCACAACGGCCAGCAGAGTAGCGACGACAAACACCTGGCGAGAGAGGGAGAGGGACGTCAGCACTAGTCACCGGGCGTCACTGTGAGTCATTCGGAGTCACTGGGAGTCACTGGGAGTCAATGGGAGGCATTTGAAGGCACTGGGAGTCACTGAGTCACTGGGGGTCATTGGAGGTCCCTGGGAGGCTCTGGGAGGCCTTGAGAGTCACAGAGAGTCCCTGGGAGGCACTGAGAGGCACTGGGAGTCACTCGAACTCAGACACAGGAGGGTGGTATCACGAATACTGAACACCAGAAGTGGTCTGTATCGCATCGGACCTCTCTCGGCGCGGCGTCCTACCTTCATGACTGTGGACTGGCGGCGTCTGGTGGCGGGCTGTTGTGCCGTGTCTGTTTATATGGGCACCTCTCGCTGCGCCCTCCGCCGCAGTGCCCCGGGGTGCGGGTCGGGGCTCGACCTCGCCGTTACGTCACCCCCCCCCCCCCCCAGTCGGCAGCAGCCACCGTCCGGTAAACGGCACTCGGCTCTGACGAAACGAGGCCAGAAGAGCTGCCGACGAGCACCTTTGACCCAGCCTTCGCCCGGCCGGCCGGCTCGAGATAGTGCTTTTTGTGCCCCTGCGCCGGGCGCGGCCATTAGAGAGAGGGAGAGCGGGACAGACGGCCCCGGGGCTGCTCCAGTGCACGGACGGCCGCAGTCGCCGGTGCCGAGAACATATACCCGGCCTGGGCTGGAGGTGCCAGCTCTGTTAGGCAGCGTTCACCCTGGGTCCGGGGTCCAACGGAGTGTTTAGTCCAGCCGGGTCCTGGAGGACCCAATGAACTCCAAACTGGATATGCAGTCGAAACTCGAATCCATGACTCAAATCCAGAAAAAAACGACAACCATGGTGTTGCTCGTAAACATCTGGTGAATAAATGCATCGGCAAAAAAGAACTCGAATGACCAGGAATTCATGAATACCTATTTTTTAAAGATATAAAAGTTATTTAAAACGATAACCATAAACATTTATTTTACGAGCGAAGAAATGTAAATCTTTTAACGTACTGTATTTAAGAGACAAACAGTATCTTTATTCACTATGACTTATGAGACCTACTATCAATAACCAGGCTTTGGTATGTGCTGGTTAGCAGTTTCTGTCGGCGTGTAGATGAATGCTTAGTGTCTAATGAAAACTTTCGCACACCTTCCGACTTTTGAAACGTGGTGCTGCCTAGTCCCTCTAGTCCCTAGCCTTGTTTTCCCATTTACCCTGCAAACAAGCACATTAAGCAAAGATTCTGTCACCGCAAGCTGATATCTAGCTACCACTTCGAGATCGACGAGAGAGAGAGAGAGAGAGAGAGAGAGAGAGAGAGAGAGAGAGAGAGAGAGAGAGAGAGAGGGGGAGAGGAAGAGGGAGAGGAGGGAGAGATTCGCTTAGCCAAAACTTAAACAACGACTCCTCTCTCTCTCTCTCTCTCTCTCTCTCTCTCTCTCTCTCTCTCTCTCTCTCTCTCTCTCTCTCTCTCTCTCTCTCTCTCTCTCCCTCTCTCTCTCTCTTCCATATTCGATTCGACATGTCTTCTTGAGTTTATCGATGTTTTTTCGACTCGCCAGCTCAGTCTGATCGGAAGCAATTGACGAAAAACGTTCATGACCTGCAAGGTCAACGATACAAAAGTTCAACATCGGACCTTGCAAGACGTGTATGAAATCACGATCCCATATGCTTGAGAGAGTCGTAGGAAGATCATGTTTGACGCAAACAAAAAACGGTTTCGGAAACTGTTTTTTTATGTTTTGATGGTCATTTTGCCACCATTTAGGGAAACCCGAGATATAGGTAGGCACAAGTTGTCAGGCCTCAGAAATTCACCAAGTCCTATAAGCTTCATCTCAATGTGAAAGCTCCTGTGGCACTAAGGGTAGGTATTACACATTTTAAGACCCAAGGTATGCTCACTTATGACGTCATAGGTCATTGACCACTGACCAGACTTGATCAGAACATGTGGTTGGTGCCACAAGAGCTGGCTTGGATCAAAGGTGAGGTGCGTGTCACTTTTCAACCCTGTATGGCCAGCGCTTTCCGAGAAATCGCGAGAAAAAAAAACGTCGTCAGGGGTCGCAACCGCACCCCCTCGGCCAGAAAGGGAAAGGGTTGGACTCTTTCAAACTCTTTGAAGAAGTTTGAAAGCAAATAAATCGTTGCAGTTTTGGCCTCAGACACAGCTCTGCTAAGTAACCAACGTGCCACTGCCAAGCCATGTTTATGGGCGCAACTGCAGCGTTTCTATCGGATCCCACACACCTCCAGCCGACTCCAGTCGTTGGCCGCTGGATGGCAGCACTGCACCTTTAGAAGGTGACGCTACCAGAGAGGTAGTGGCAGGGCTGGTGGGATTGTAGGGACCCGGGCTTATGCTCTGTTCAGCATTCTTATCCCGATTTGCGTACCGCAGTGTCAATCTCAGATTATTGGAGTGCCGATACCAAAGCAAATGGAAAAATGAGTCGAAATGGAAATAAGAAAGAAATCAGCTATTTTGGTTGCAAATTAGGTACTAGTAACAGCATTTAATCCGAGACCTCATAGACCCAACAAAATATCAAAACACAGTACATTTGCAATACCTACCTACTAATTAAAAGGTCGCATCTAACCCGCGCCCCATTGGGGGGGGGCTATTCATAGCCCCCCCCCTCCCATTTTTCTGCAATAACTTCCAAACCACTTGACGTATCCACGCCAATCTTTCAGTACCTTCGGCTGCATCAATTTGACACCTTGTGTCAAAATTTGAACTTCTTAGCTACCATAGGTCGGCCGGAAATGACGTCAGAGTGACGTCATGTTCGGCCGATTTCGACGCAAAACATTGAACCACGGAAATCGCTCCCAAGAGCTCAGTTTTCTAGCTAGATCCAATTTCTTTGCAAGAAAGCACTCAAAATTGACTGCGCTATCAAACCACTATCTCGGATTTTCAAAATTTTGAAAATTTCGAAAATATTGTATAATAATATTCAAAATTTATATGTTTATATTTTTTCAATTTTTTTTTTGATTTTTCGGAAAAAAAACGGAATACATGTGACAGAAAGCATGCTTATGACTAACTCTAGCAAGTTATAGCTAAATATCTTCAAAAATGGCCAAATTATACGCATTAATGCAAAAATTCACAATCATTAATTTTTTAAATCAATTTTTAGTACGTATTTGACATCGTACACCAATATAAATAGCACCATCGTGTTCCTGAGCTCAAACTGCATCCATTAGACACCTTTTTTGTTGACAAAATTAAACTTCAAAATTTGACCTTTTTTGACCTGAAAGTGACCTGACCTAAACTAAATTCGACTCAAAATGACCTCGAATGACACAGACGACATCAAATTCGAAATCTATGGCCTAAATGGACCATAAAACATGTGTCACGTGACCGACGCATGATATAATGTTTCCGTGACCTGTGATGACCTGACCCCATGGGCGGCGCCACCGGGGGGGACGGGGGGGACAGGTCCCCCGCTATCACAAGTTAGGGGGGTACAGTACCCCCCTATCGGCGAGGCCCGTTCAATAGTTGATAATAATGCATTATAGAGCTATCCGTCGCATTTAATGCATCGTTGGTTAACCCGCGCCCTGCTGGGGGGGTGTTTGAACACCCCCCCTTGTGGTTTTTCGCGAATATCTCAAAAACGGCGGCGCGGAGCGCCGCCGTTTTTGGTACACCTTATCATAAATCAATTCTACACATGTTGTGAAAATTTCAGACCAAGGTCATCCAAGGTCAGGTCACCAGGTCACTTGAAGTGACCTCACCTCATAAAAAGTTTCAATGTCTGTCATAGCTACACCGAGTGACCGATCGCTTTGAAACTTTCAGCGATTGCTTAGAGCAATAGCATGTACAAAATGTATATCTCAGAATTTTGATATCGATGACCTAAGGTCAGGTCAATTTTGCGACCTCCCCATTATAAGTCAATGGGAGAAAATTGAAATGCGCCTCTTTTGGACGAAAGACATTATAAACACACCCAAACACTGAATTACAAGTGGTTTAGACACACTGAACATGAAAATGGTGTCCGTGACCCCTGTTTATGCCCTGAGGTCATCTTAGGTCACGAATGGTATCTAACAGTTTTTCGCAAATAACTTTTGATAGAGGCATGCTAGAGCGATGAAAACGCCTTAGATGTGTTCAGCTCGACGATACGGATCGACTGATATGCAACATGACCCTTTCCGGTCAGGTCATGACCTTGACCTGAGGTCAAATTTTCAAGTTGACCTTTCAAGGTCAAGTTATAGTTCATTCGATGCGTCTTGACGAGAGGAACACGATGCCGGTAAAAGTAAGCTCGTACAAGGCTTGGGTCAAAAGTTATTGCAGAAAAACTGTTACCGAAAAAATCGGCTATTTTTGCAGTTTTTGCCCCCCTGCAGGCAAAACCGTTGACGGTAGGTCAAATCTGAGAGAATTACTCAGAAAGGGCGTTAATAGGGCTATCGAATGCGCTTTTCCGCGGCGCTGTAGCTCTATTGGTTCCCGAGTTATGCGTTGGCTTCTTGGAAATTTTCGACATTCGGCCTGGAAATCGGCGAAATTTTGCCTTCAATGACCTCTGGTGACCTGACCTTTGACCTGACCAAAAAATTGACCGAAGTGATTTCCTCATTATTTTTGACGCTCTTTCGAACGCCGCCTTCCGCGTATCGCTACGTGGCCCAGGAGCCGAGTTAGAAGGGGGGTGTTCAAACACCCCCCCCCCCCCAGCAGGGCGTGGAAATCCAGGACCCCCAGCAGGGCGCGGGTTAATCAAGGCAGGTTCTGAATAAAGATTGCTGTTGGGATGCATCGCAGGGGGTGCTGGCCATCTGCAAAAGGTGTGGAGCTGTGATGCCTGTAGTTACAAGGTGATCGGCAGGGCCTCGGGGATCGTGCCCCCTTTTTGGGGCGCCAGGCAGGGTTATTACTTATTACCTCCCCACCCCACTGCCAGACCCCATTGCCGATAAAACCAAGTTCACTGAAATTCCATAGATTTCCGTTACTATATGAAAAATTTCCATTCCTAATTAGTCAAATTCAAGCATGGCAGTTCTACCACAGGAACCATTTGAAATCTATGCCATTTAACCCCAGCACTTGTGGGGAGAAGTGTTCGGATAGATCACAGGCAGGACCAAAAAAGCACGCAGTAGCCCAAGACATTATAATTGGATATAGCATCGGCTCCCTCTCGTCAAGGGGTTCGATAGCACTCGTTTTTTTTTCTGCAAAACTAAGTTCGGTCGGCGGCCGAACGGCTGGGGGTCTAATCGAGCCCCCCATCCCTCCCCTTCTTACGTCAGCGACTGTGAAAATGCCATTACCAGCTGTTGAAACATGGCAGTTGCTTTTGCATGAGTGCACGAAAGGGTGTTAGGTCCGTGATACGTGAAAGGTTCTACATGAAAATTGAGATACACCAGCTTATCAAATTGTGCTCACTGTGGTGCGCTCGGTTTTACCTTGACTAGTCTTTGAATTCTGGGGTGAAACAGACCAGTCAAGAAACCTGTTCCATAAGGAGAGCCACTAATGCTAAAGAGATGTGGGATTGAGGTTTCCAGAGACCTTCATTACCTCCCAAAGGGGGTGCCCCGCCATTTGCCAATCCCTGCTGTAGTTGTTACGATTGGAGGGTGAATATGAGAACGATGCAGGTCGTGCCAGCTCGATCATGACGAACACAATGGTGCCGACATCACAGCTCTACTGCCATTTTTGACGAAGTTAATCAACAAGGACCGGAATCCTACCCTGGGGCATTTCACCTGCAGAGGTAGCCGGACCTGAGACTCTTTCACTCAATTTTTTCAACGGTGCATGCGTTCGTTTTTCCCGCGAAGCTCTTGGCAAGTAA